TAATCAGTTCAGCAGTTTTTAATAAAGAACATAGCAGCAGAATAATTATTTGAAAAAGAATTTACGTTCTTCCAAGTATTGTCCTTGGCATGCACATAATAATTATAAAACTTTAATTATGACTTAAGATTTTCTAATGAAAAACTAATATGAATAGTTATTATTTTATTTAAAAAAATACAATGTATACCTCTTTTAACCAGACGGCTCGAAAGCTTTGTGGCCAAGCATTTTTGCCCGTAGCGGCCTACAAATAATTGTTCCGGATCGGGATGTTTGACCGTAATGTAAAACGTCTCCAAGATATGGGATTAATTCCAATTGGGGGAGAAATTCCTAACATTTAATAACAAAAAAATAGTTTGTATAACTTTACGCGAGCGCGGTTGATGTAAAACTTATTAATATTAATATTATGTATATTGGTATTATTTATTTTTCTCTTATAAAATATTTTTTACAACAAAATTAGGTATTCATCAATAAATACTAAATAGCAATTATTATTAATATTTAACTTCATAAAAATAGAACAGGAATATATGTAAGTGCTATCCGTGCGGTTAAAGAATGGGATTGAAAATGGCGTCGCCTCTATTCACCTCTCGCTCGCACACTGTTGCTATCTATACTCATTCCCGCCTGTAAAGACTGCAAAAAGAATACATAACGATATGTATTTTTCGTACGTTCTAAAACTTCAGTTCAACTTGTCAAATAGAGAATAATACCAGGAGACGAGGAGTGATGTAGACTAAATTTTATCCGAAAAATTTAGAGATTTTATTAATGATTTCTTATATTTACGCGAACACTACACATTGAATCAAACTACTTTTACGGATTTTATCGCGTTTAATTAAGTTATTTTTCAAACGTCGGGAATACAAAATAACTTAATTAAACGCGATAAAATCCGTAAAAGTAGTTTGATTCAAGATTTTATTAAAATAGAAATATTGATAAGTAGAAAAAATGGTCTTTAGCTATGTCTACACCAGTGCGCTTTCAATTTCACTTTCATGTTCATTTTACGTTTCAACTTTCAGTTCTGCCATAAGACGCATGCACCTTATCGTCTATACCAGTGCGCTTGTCGCATACAACTTGTCTATACCTCACGAGCCTCGGTTAGGTTTGGTTAGAGATGGACGTGGCACTAGTAGCTATGAGTGCGACATATAAATGCAGGGAAAAAACGCAAGAAAAGGAGAAATCACACAATATCACGAACGACTAAAGTCACTTTCTACAAGCTTTTGAAAATAGTGGAGTCAAAATTACGAAACGTAACACTCATTATCTAATGTTTTAAATTTGTCTTCCACCATTTTGTTTACTAAAATGCATGAAATATTGCATGCGAATCCACCGGTGACTGTGCAGCGTTCGCTAGAGGCATGCGCTGTTGTCGAACTAGTTTTAGCGCATGCACTATTGCGTGCACTATGGTTGCTCAGGCATGCGTTAGAGGAAGACGCAAAATGAACAGGAAAGCGCACTGGTGTAGACATAGCTTTTAGCGATTACCTCAAGTCTAAATAACGCCACGTGAATATACCTACTTGCGTATATAAGTATAATTCTTTACAAATATTTTCCCATTAATAGAAAATTTCCAATTAACCAAATAACAAAGTTATAACGATATACCGTTATTAGCGTGTTTCGCTATTGGTACTGTTCATTTTGAGGGTATGGGCATGATGAGCTGCCATTTCTAATCCCATTTTTTATCCGTAATGACTGTATAATATATGAAATCTCAAAATACAATGTTATACCCAATAATATACTTATTTATATACTCTTGAAATGCTATAGACAGTCACTAACCTTATAAAAAAGTCTAAAAAATGATCTAAGTTACTCTCAAGTCGTGTCTTAAAAAAATTTACATCAATAAAAAAGAAGTATTGTATCAAACGCCAAGCCTATATAAACTAAAAATTTCACAACTCTGATACGGACTCGGATCAGTCGCTCGACCGATCTGCATACTGTATGAAGACGAGCGACCTGTGTTGGAATCAAATCCGAAACTACGCAACCGTCGTTATTGTAATTTTTAAGTTTAAGAACAAGGAAATTGCAATAATGTGATTAAATATTACATATTATATGAATGGTAACGCCATCCTTTTTGTGGCAGATTTATTTTTGCAGCAAAAAACTGTACAATTCGGCCTTTTTATAGAAAGTCGATTAAGACGCGCTACTAGATTTAGTCCAGTGAATAGTGCGGCTCCTACCGCGTGGTCTTAGACTTTGACAGAGGGGAACGCCTGGCCTGCGTATGGCTAAGCTGCCCTCTGATCTGCCGGTGGCCCGTGTTGCCCTATGGCCGTAAACTATTTCTAACATAAGCTTACTGTGTAGTTAACGGTAATATAATATAATAGTAGGTATTTTTAATCAACAAATAAAAAACTCTTTGTTATTAATATTGGCAAGTGTTAAAACGGCTTAAATTGGCGTTCTCGATATATAACGACAATATTATGGTTAATTAATGGTCACATTGTAAAATGTTAAACATTTTTCAAGCGTCCACAAACTCATTATTTCATTACTACACGCCACGAGCGTTCACTGAAGTGAATTAAATTTATTTACATCGTATTGGAAAAGTACGTAACCGGTAGAGCTTTAATTTTTTGGACCGTTATTTTTCACTGAAATACTAAATGGCAGAACTGATTTTGATGACATTTTTTGTGTGTGTTTAAGTGCTCCCTGTATGGTTTGAGTTTACAATTGGATTTGATAGGTGTCGCTATTGTCGAGATTAAAAGAACACGTGCGAAGCCGGGGCGAAACGGTAGTTAATATGCTTTAAAAATATGTTTGAATGTATGAAATGTCATTTAACACTGGGGTGGGTTAATTATCAGAACGTTAGATTGTCTACCACCCTAAGCCTTAAGGTGGCTTGACATTGACACAGAGTGCGTTATATATTAAAAAAATATGTTAATATCGCTGGACATCTTAAGTAACACATGTACTAAACTAATATACTAAAAGCAAAGGTGATTTAAAATAAATAGGCTTAATGTGGTTTTTGGTCACAATTAACTCCCCCAAACGGCAATTGTAAGTTCGTTGTGTCTAGTATTCTAGTATATACTTCATAATCAATTAAAAAAAACTCTATCAAATGTGAATTATACAATAACGCGTCAAACACGGTTTGGAGTCGATATCATGATTGGTTCACAAAAGTAAAAGAAAAAGGTGAAAAAGTTCACTTACTTACGAACCTCGTTACGTATGTTGTAGTAATATTATTATTTAGACTTTCGAAAATCGAACCTATAACAACGACTAAATGGGAAGTTAAAAATAACGAATATTGATAATAATAAATTGAATTTTAAATAAAACTAATTTTACGGATTTTATCGCGTATATTAATCTACTTTTATATTCCCGACGTTTCGGGTGCTTTACAGCACCCGTGGTCACGGGGGACTGAGGTGTTTGACGTCCTGCTGTCGTAGTTAGCCCGGCTACCTTCGGTTTTTTAATATTAATTTTTGGTCCGATTTACGCAGAATGAGCTTACAGTATCTTGAAGTCTAGCAGTGGTATACTTGGGTTTGGATTTGATTTTATTAATTATGGGATCCCAAGCAGATGGCAGCACCCATCCATCTTCTCTATTGAAATTAGGATGTTTTTTAATTTCAATAGCCTCGCGAATCATCCTTGGGAGGAATCGGTGTTCTTTTGCGAGGATTTGTGGTCTATCAAATCTAATGTAATGGCGGGGACGATCTTGAACATGTTCACAAACTACAGACTTCCCGATACGTCGGTGCTTCACGTCAGCTATATGTTCTTTAACGCGGGTTTTAATAGATCTTTTTGTTTGTCCTATGTAGGAGAGACCACAGACACCTACATAGGACAAACAAAAAGATAAATGTCGGGAATATAAAAGTAGATTAATATACGCGATAAAATCCGTAAAATTAGTTTTATTTAAAATGTGTAGTGTTCGCGTAAATATAAGAAATCATTAAATAAATTGAATGTTAATTTTAAGAAGGCAAGCACAGTGCGTTATTCAAGCATATAATTGGAGTCTGAAGAACCTTTTTTATAGAAGTAAGAGTGACAAAAAAGCACATCGTCCACCTTATGGTAAGTGTACATTGTGGCCATAGACACCAGAATCTATCCTCTATTGACGGCTACGTGGCGTAGCGGCTTAAGAATGAGTTGCAGCCGCTAAGGGCCGCTGCTGGTTCGAAATCCCGCAAAGAACAAGCATTTGTATGGCCTAAATAATTGTTCCGGGTCTGGATGTTTGCCATTGCGAAATTTGTGTATATAAACTGGCCCCACGATACAGGAGAAACTTCTAATGTGGAGGTAATATTTTTTATAAAAAATAGAATAAATAGAATTATGAATTCGGAGGAATACCTTGTTCTAGTAAAGAGGGTCTCCGGCGGTCGACGCCCAGCATACGAAAGACATTATCATTACTTTTAACGCTGTTATTCTATGCAAGAGAGAAGTGTAAAGAGGAAATATTATATAAGTAGTTTAAAGATCATAGCTAGTACATAAAAATATACACAATTACAAAAATACGGAATAACAGTTTACAGACTATATTCGTTCAACTGCTGGGCCCAGGCCTGCTCTCTGTTTTGTTGTAGAGCGAGGAAGGGTCCACCGTACTACCCTATTGCTAGTGAACGTCTTCGCAAACATATACCTATATTTTTTGTGATTACTTAGACATGCAGGTTTCTTCACGACGTTTTTCCTTTACCACGGAACTAGTAGTAAATCGGCACTTAAATTTAAAATTATCATAAATTCATTGGTGTCGGCGGAGATCGAACGAACGCTTACACCCTGAACTACCACGGCTCGTTAATATTGATTTTTATTTAGGATTAAATAGCTACTTGTATTTTTCCAGGTTGGCGGCAGCGCAGGAGGCGGCGGGCGCGCAGGCTCGCGCGGCGCCAGCTGATACCATGGGCGGCGCGCATCAGCCCGCTGCTCCGGGGCCCAGCTCGCTCTTTATATTCTCCGACGAAAATCCTATACGGAGGTCAGTAAAACTATACTTTTTTATAGTATAAGGGTGACAAACGAGCACACAGTCCACCTGAAGGTAAGTGGTTGCTGTGGTCCATAGACATCTACATCTATCCTCGTTTGCGAATCAAAACGCAGATGCGCTGTCACCCGTGAGGACCAAGATGGAATGCCTCATTTCCAGTAAAAAGGGCCTCCGGTTCTCTCTACACTCACGATACGAAACGCAGCAGCTTTAAGGTGCTATTTTACGCTGGTATTCTGCGAGAACGTAGTCTTTCCCCGGTCAAGCCGACCCATTCATGCTACAACTACACTATTAATATAGCTGCAGCATGGCTCTACCACGTAAAAAATACTTGCTAACGCTATACATTTATTTTATTAAAATAAAAGTGACAGGGAAACCTGCACCCAACTTCATACAAAGAAGGCAACAGATGCTTTGTCACTTCTGAGAACTTATGTAGATAAAATGCCTCATGACCTCTAATCACTCTTACTCTCTACACCCTTCAAACCGAAGCAAAGCAGTGCACGCACTGTGGTTTGGCGGCAGAAATAGGTACGATAGTACCTACCACCACCACCCTGTAAATAGTACCCATCATGATTCATGATTGTATTTTGACACCGTCTTATGAGAGTTTATGTAAATACACCTTTTTAGAAGTGTAAGTAACTAATTCCGTTTAAGATAACGCCTTTTAGAAAGGAGTAGGCAATTTTCTTGACATTTGCCCAAAAAACTGTAAAAAAAAACTAACAAGCGTAATTAACAAAAATGTTCAATGTTCTTCAATTTTTATTTAGTTGCATTGCTTTTCCAGTCCTGAACTTCTTTGTTTGAAATTCGTTATTGCTATACATAGGGCGTTGCAGTCACTTACCTACTATCTATTGGACTAAAAGCTCGACAAACGAGTCGAACTTTTGCTGAAATTTCAACTTAAATATTTTTAAATGGCGGAATAATAAGAATAAAATGATTTTTAAATGTTACACGCGTAACGCATACATAAATATCCGAGGTGCATCATTGTTTGCAAACAAGTGCATCATATAGGATGAAAGACTTGTATTCAGATAGCTTTCGCTCAAAAAAAAACTTATAAAAGATGACGACTAGCAATTGATATAATATTTTTATAGTTATCATAAAACAATATAATTAAAATTTTCTCCTGAATGAACATTATTATTGTATTTTAATTTTGCTTCAAAACAGTAAAAAGTTCGCTGACTAGAAATCAATATTTTTTGAGCTAATTATGGAAATAAAATGATGTTGTAAAGCGCGCGCTTGAAGCGTCGCGGTTCTACGATACTCGTAGTAGGTACTCGTAGCCGATCATCAAAGCATAGAAACGTTTAGTGCGGTCAACAATTGTTGATAGTGGTATTATTTGTCCTCCAACATCTGCGAGATATAAAAGACGCGTTTTCTTCCGAACCATTATATTGTAGATAATAACGATTAATAATATGACTTTAGTACATTTCAAAAATAGTATAATTAATGTTATTTTTTAAAACTAAACAATAGTACCTGGGCAACTAAGCTTTGCTGACGTTAGAAAATAAAACAATCTTCTCGGGGATAAATGTTATCGAGATAAACATGGAAGGTAAACGATTATATAAACGCAAAATTTCATCCAGATTGTCATAGTTTTATTCGAGAACATAACTATACAAAAATTGCAGTAGTAGACTCCATGATTCGACTCGTGAGTATCATAAAATCGTGTGAACTGTGATAAATTATGGCGGAAAAGCAGTCTCGACAATTGCCTGACCAATGTAGGATAGTAACTTTCGTCAAGTAATCGTAAAATTGTTCGATAAAACTTGCCTATAAAATAGTTTGATACAAATTACCTTGTCAATATACCATTATTAACAAAATATGAGTATAGAATCAAGATATAAATAAAATGAAATATGGGAAGAAAAACAATTAGAAATCACGAAGAAATTTTTTATTTATTTTTCGCGAAACAAACGAGGTTCTTCGACGTCTAAGCTTCGACGCTTATGTTTTTTATGCATGTTCACCGATTTTTCAGAAACGGCTAAATCGACTAAAATTGTTTTTTTTTTATTTATTAAATAGGCCACAAAGGGTAATCCCATGTAAATTTTAAGAAAAAGTTGCTTCATATGAAGCAAAGCTGGAAAAATAACGGATGAAGATTATAATGGAAACATTTGTACGACATTCGATTTGTTTACATTGAACTTACCATACGAGTATTCCTTAGTTCACTCAAAAGGATTGAATAATTAAAATTTTAATAATAAAAAAAAATCACCTAATAACTTTTAAAGTCGACGCTAAAAAAATGTTTTGAAAAATTAAAGCCTCGACTTCAAAAAGTATAATATGTGGAAAAATGTTTTTTTTAGTTTTGAAGATGTTTTGTACTTTATAATAAAAGTTTAATTTTGTTAATTACATTTAATGCGAAACCCGTCTTTTCTCGATAGAAAATGTGTTAAAATATATAAACAAATTGTATTTGATTTAGTTATATAACTTAAACGATATCTCAAGGGGCGCTTCTTCTTCATTAAGTGCATCAGCCTCTTGCCCCGGTGTCTAAGCGTGAAATGGGTCGTGTAATAGAAAGCTAATGCGATAATCGCACGCTATGATATTAGGTTTACAATGCACTATTATAACGTTGGAAGATGTTCTCTTAGTTTAGCCTTATGTTATTATCTAACTTATGTTATTTTAAACACGTGTTCGATGTTATTAATAAAATAACATTTAGCAATTTTTTTTATTTTACTTGGTGTCGGTATATACGTAGATATATGTATATATGGGTATCGTTATAAAGGTTTTCTTAATTGAGGTTTTGCAGCTTAATAATCATTTGTGTTATTCGTGAGATATTAAGCGATAAAACTGTAAATGGTTACTACTAAACTCAACCAAAAAACTTATTGTATTTAAGATTTAGCTATGCAAAAAATAATCTTGTAGTGGCGGTGTAAGAATATCTACTACCCCACATCATCCCGTGGGTGTCGTAACAGGCGACAGAGGAAAACACATCAGGAGATGGGCAGTAGCGTCTTCCTAATAAAGATGAAAAATAAAAAAAAACTGCAGTTGCCAGCCCACTTGAAAATCGGGGCAACTATGGCAAGTAGGGGCCTATGTTCAGCAGTGGACTTTAATAGGCTGTAACGTTAGGTAATACAGTTAGCCGTCTGTAGCGCTATTCTGCGAGTGGTTAGTCCTCATTGTCACGGCCTTGGTTATAGATTGTATTGATTCTATAAAAAATCCAAGTACATGTTGAGAGTTGAGACACGCATGAGGTAAGGTTTCGCTGCAGCGATAATCTCTATACATAATAATCAATTGCTGTCGGTTAGTCTCGCAAGTATTTGAAAAAGGCTGGACCAATATGATGAATATTTTTGTGTATATTTGAGTACCCGGTAGGTGACACTGTTGTCGAGATCCAAAAATCACCCGGGCGAAGCCGGGCGGATCGCTAGTCTCAAATAATTTCTTAAATTCTAATGCAGTGTTCTAAGTTCTAGTTTCTATTAAATGTGTGTGCAGAAGGGGGAGCTTGATATTTTTAAAACAAAGTTTATTTACTAATAGATCTTACAGACGAATAGAACAAAATAATTAGGGTTCCTTGTATCCTTGTAAGTGGAACCCTAATATAACTGTCATTGTCTATTGAATAACGTGCACTGCGATTATGAATAAATATTGAAAGGCGTTATCTTATTATATTTCCAGGTATACAAAATTCATCATCGAGTGGCCACCCTTCGAGTACGCGGTGCTGCTTACCATCATCGCCAACTGCGTGGTGCTGGCGCTGGAGGAGCATCTACCCAACGGCGATAAGACCATCTTAGCACAGAATCTGGTAAATTCAATTTAAATACTTAATATTTCAAATTATTATTTTTTTTAATTTATTATCTATACATTTATAGCATAAAATTGAAGTGTCCGTCTATAATATCAAAATAACTGCTTTATATTTGAGCTAAGACATGAATAACAATTAAAAAATAATCCGTGTGTCTGTCGGTTTGTCTGTGTGTGCTAATTTTCAAAATGGTTGAACCGATTGTAATGCAATATCACGAACAGATGTGACCTAGGCTATATTTTATACGTAAAAGATTTTTTTTTAAAAAAAACGAAAAATTTATAAAAATTAATGGAATTTGATTATCTTAAATTTAAATACCACCACGTGTATTTAATATAATATCATATAAAATGGCAGCCCCGTACTGGCAAGCTAAGTGTAGGGCGGCCTCCCACTAGATGGCTTATAATATAGACTATTAGATGGCTTAGATTTGGTTTTCCCATAGGCTAATGTTCAATATTATGTTCATTTGCATGGATTTAGAATCGTTTGGCGGGAATTTGGGGAAGTAAGGTGTTTTATTTGGTAGAGATTTGGTCCCCGATTATAATAATACCACTCAAATTAAAAGGTAATGCACCGTTATCGAAAAAATAAATAAAAACTATTGTAACCTAAAATGCGTAAAACATGGAAAAACGTAAACATGGAATTTTGTTTAAGTGCGACAAGGACATAAGACTAGTGTCAAAATATTGTACTGTCTATACTCTCTCTCAAGAGATATTTCGCTAAAAACAACTGTAATAACAGAGAAAATTTTACCGACTTCATATATGAATATTTATGGAGAAGAGAAATTATAAAGAATAAAAGAGATCCTTTTGAGGAATTAATAAAAATAATAAATTATCTTTACAGACAAAAAAATAATATTTTTATTTTTTTAGAAAAATACTAGGAATGCTGTTTTAAACATTTTTTCAAGCGATTTTGTGTTGGTTCAAGTGTCACCCTAACCACACCTACTGGCAACTGGCAACACTTAATTCTAACCATGAAAAAATTTAATGCACATATGTTCACCCAAGATGTGTGTGTTATTATTCGCCCGTAAAAGTCCACTGTTGGTCATAGGCCTTTCCCGTTGTAGGCAGGTGTTGCCGTAAGCGTAGATGTCTAACGCCTAATTTTCTGCTGAATAAACAGCAGCTGCAAGTTTTCTCATTAAAAGTCATCATCGTTACAACCCAACACAAGTTAGTTGCTGAACATAGTCCTCTTCCAAGGAATACCACAAAGCATGTCTGGGCCACCTGCATCCACCGACTTCCTGGATCTTTCACCAGGTCGTCCCTCCATCTATTGGGAGGCCGCCCTACACTTAGGTTACTGGGACGAGGCTGCGTCTTGAGAACTTTTCTTTGTCTGTCGATTCTTCGGGTTGTATGGCAGGCCCTTTGTCACATCAGCTGATTCGTTTGGCTCTGTCTCTCTCAGTGGCAACACGCTCCTATTCGGAATTTGTCATTGATGGTTATCAAGGACAAATTGTATACTTATCAATACACTTCTCAACAATTTTGAGCTTAGTGCCACCAACAACTTCCGGCATAGGTACACGTATGGAATAGTCCTCTCCCAAGGAATGCCACAAAGCATGTCTGAGCCACCTGCATCCACCGACTTCCTGCATCTTTCACCAGGTCGTCCCTCCATCTATTGGGAGGCCGCCCTACACTTAGTTTACTGGGACGAGGCTGCGTCTTGAGAACCTTTCTTTGTCTATCGATTCTTCGGGTTGTATGACAGGCCCTTTGTCACATCAGCTGATGCGTTTGGCTCTGTCTCTCTCAGTGGCAACACGCTCCTAGTCGGAATTTGTCATTGATGTTTATCAAGGACAAATTGTATACTTATCAATATACTTCTCAACAATTTTGAGCATAGTGCCACCAACAACTACCGGCATAGGTACACGTATGGACTCGTACAGGGACGTAACACATGACTTTTGTCTTGTTCATCTTCATCTGAATATATATACGTTGGAAGACACATCTGCTCTATTTTCTGCTGTTTGATGAGATTATATATATTAAGTCTATTATAATTTTTATTCATAAGAATAGGGATAGAGATTTATCTATATTGCCAGCAATGTCTAAAATAATCGAACGGACAATAAGTACTAGACTCACAGACTACTTTTTTTTAAAATACTAGTAATGCTATTAAACATTACTAATATTCTCTTAAACCACTTCCGGTAAGCTTAAAATGCTTGTGTTAGAAGTATTTCACGACAGTAGTCGAATGGCTGATTCGAACCCACGACCTTTCGAGTTCGCGGTCCGCACCCTGCCATTAGGCTACTGACACTTAAAACGCTTTGAAAGTAACAATCATTAATAAAAATAAATGTACTAATGACGCAACACTAGATCTAACTAAAGGCGGCTACTCACTTGTCTACCGCAGGGGCAATCTAGATTGTAGGAGTGGGGATGACCCTTAATTGCCTCCTCAATTGTGATGTGTATATGCAAGCAGGGGCAATTTTCTAAGTGGGCCCTGCGGCAGGGTGGCAGGGGCGCAAGACCTTCCTTGCTCCCTAGATCGTAGCTGCCGCTGTCACGTGTGTAGCGCAATTGGGTCAATTTCAATCAGTTCGTTACCGACTTTCGCGCGGAGAACACGTGCGAGTACATGTCACAATCTCACAATGGATAACAATAAAAAATATGAAATTTAGACACTACTGATAGATGTGTAGTGTATGTGTAGTGTATAAAGTGCGGCTTCTCCGCCCAGTATCTCCTTTTTGTTTTTTTTTTTGCGATAACACCGCAGACCGTTTTTAAACGTGGTAGAGTCACGCTGCAGCTTCCAAGTACTATATGTTTTATAGATAAATATGGGTGTCCATGGGCCGCTGTATCCATTTATAATCTGGTGGACTGTGCTCATTTGTCACCCTTATTTTATATAAAAAGTGCTAAGGTTATATATACCAATTCATTGGTAATCAAACAAAAGAGTGACTTTCAATAAGTATTATTTATAATCTATATTGAATAAAAAAGTTTCTGTTTCTGTTTCTGTTTCTATTGTAATTTCGATAAAACTGGGGACATTCTCAACGCGTGCGTCTAGCGATACGTACACTCTCATACTGAATAGTAGACATGTAGGGATAGTTCTGATATTGCCCTGATCGCTGTTCACCCTAGCTTGCCCCTGCGGCAGGCAAGGGAGTAGCCGCCTTAATTACGTAGTGTCTAAACTTAGATGCCGGTAGAAAATGTATTGGTGTATTTCTTGACTTATTCAAAGCATTTGACACGGTCTCTATTCCCCTACTCCTAAATAAGCTAGAAGCTTTGGGTGTTAGAGATAAACAGTTGGACGTCTTTCAAAGTTACCTCCACAACAGAACCCAATGCGGCAAGATTAGCGACTACACCAGTTGTCAACTTCCTAATAAATTTGGTGTGCCGCAAGGCAGTATAATCGGTTCAACCCTATTCTTGGCTTATATAAATGGCCTATGCAACCTGAAACTAGATCATGGTAAAATCATGTGTTTCGCCGATGACATATGTCTCCTTTTCTCAAGCGAAAATTGGGAGGAGGTTTTTAGATATGCCCAAATACAGCTTAATATCGTTATTCAGTAGCTACCTTTGGACGATTAACACAAACAAAACAATGTACATTACTTTTTGTAGTCAACTGTTATCCCTTCCACCCCAAAACATCTACAAATTGATCGTTTAGTCTTGTGCTCAAACAGCTATATGTTCATGCACAGAATTAACCATTACTAACTCTATCAAAAATCTAGGTGTTACTCTATAGTAACACCTAGATTTTTGATAGAGTCAGGATTTATATCCTCGTCTAAACTTTGAAAAGCACATTACTCTCTTAAAAACTAGGGTACGTAAATTAATTTTCATATTCAGAAACTTGCGCTATATTGCTGATTTTAACTTATTTAAAATAGTATATTACGCATTATGTCAGTCCGTTTTGACCTACTCTATATCTCTCTGAGGAGGCTCTTCAAAAACATTGCTATCACTATTAGAAAGAGCCCAAAAAACAATCTTAAAAGTAGCATTCATTCGCTATTTTCTTTACCCTACTAAAGAACTTTATAAGGAGTGGAAAGTCCATCAGTGCGACAGCTATTTGTCCAATCGGTTATACAAAGACAACATCGCTTAGTTCTTTATGATCCAGAGCTCAAAAGTAAAAAGCGAAGACATGATTGAATGTCCACAAGCTTGACATTTGGAACTAAATTCGCACATAGAATTTTAGGTTTTCTTGGTCAAAACTGGTGCCTAAATAAACTGGTGGTCTAATCTACTTTGTCCACGGATATATATAGATGGGGCCTGGTGACCTAAGATACAGGTTTTACCGAGTTTAGGCACCAGTTTTTCACCTGACAATAGTATTGTTTTAGATGTAAGCACATATTCTTTTTCACTGCTGGCTGTATGAGGAAGCTCAAGGTCGCTCAGCGAGCTATGGAGAGGGCTATGCTCAGGGTTTCTCTGCGTGATAAACTTAGAAATGGGGATATCCGCAGTAGAACCAGATTAACCGACATAGCCCAGCGGATTAGTATGCTGAAGTGGCAGTGGGCCGGCGATATAGCTCGAAGAACCGACAACCGATGGGAAAGAAAGGTTCTCGAGTCGCAGTCTCGTACCGGTAGGCGAAGTGTAGGGTGACCCTCCACGCGATGGAGTGACGACCTGGTAAGACATGCAGGAAGTCAATGGATGCAGGTTGCTCAGGACCGTGCCTTGTGGCATTCCTTGGGGGAGGCCTATGTTCAGCAGTGGACTTGTGAAAGGCTGTAATGATGACATATTCTTTGTTACTCTCTTAATGTATATTGTAGTTGGAAATTAATAAATAAATATTCTGCAAATTTTACCTACTTACCGGAGTTTGTGTGTACGTCCGTAATTATATTTTCTTCGGTTATGATATTTGTGTCAAGACTTTACATTTTCGACGTTTTGGGTAATGGCAAGTACTGATTAACAAGGGGACAATTTGATTATTTGAACTTTTAAGTGAATCTGCTTATGTGGTCTTTAATCGGTCCTCTATTGCTATTCCAAAGCTGGTCTTCCAGAGGGACTCTTACAATTGTCACCAATACTAGCTGTTCCCGTATCAAAAGACCGACTATACTGGAAGAAGTATAGAATCTTACCTTGTCACTACGTCAATGTTGGACCTTCTGCTGACTATCGCAGCAGACAGGTATGACGCACAGGTTACTTTCTCTTTGGGTAAATAAGAGCACTGTCTGGTGAAGTTTGTATCACTATGTTCCCCACCCGATTACAATTACTGAGGTGTTCCACGAATATGTCAGCAGATCGGGATGAAATGTGACACCTTTTTGCATTCTATCCTTGGCTTGAATTCTGTTTTTATTCGATGCTGTAACCAATGCGGTGTGTCAAACGATGTAGTTCGGTGGTAATGTTTATTCATCATTTAATGCGGAATGCGCCCAAGTTAAAAACTACGAGCATTTGTCGTATCTACTCGACGCTCAAGATCGGAAAGCAACAGATTTTAGCATGAAGAAACTTGCCATTCACTGCCAACTTCTTGACCATTCAGCATTAGAGTTTTTTGGTCTTTTGTAATAATTATGCCTCCGCTAGCAGTCAATGAGGGTATCCACAACTTTTTTTGGCACCAGGGCGGCGCCACTAGAAAGTGGGGTACAATATTTGACAGATTTCATAGCGGGGAAGTTAATTTGTTCGGAAAATGTAAAGGTTATTGTTTCTTTCTGCACTATTAGTTATATTTTATATTAATAAGATTAAAAATAAATAAACCAAACCACAGATATTCATTTAAGTAGAAAAATTTAAAAAGTTAAAAATGTATTAAAAAAATTAAAGAGCAAACCACTGACGCATTGTTTTGTGTATTAATTTAATACTCTAGAAACTGATAAACTTTTATTAAAAACCAACTTCTCAATTAAATTACACTGTGTAATAAAAACTTTACCTCAGCGACATCTGGGGAGAAGAAAATTGTAAGCCCGCGTTGCGCTTCTGGCAGTCAAAAATGGGTTAATTTCTCACACAGAACTATACCATGTTCATAATTGCAAGAGATTTTGTATTAACTTCTACCCACACTTAAATTATGTCTATTGTATTATGTCCAAATTCTTGAATGCTGTTCAATTTCAGATGTCGTTAAGTCTCGTGCTGTCTCTATCACTTTAAGTCAAAGTGACTGTAAAACCACGAGACTTAACGACGTCTTAAAACTGAGTATCGTTTGAGTATTCGGCCATTAAAGACAAGAATGATGACTGACTGAGTGACTAGAACAATGGAATTTTCTAATATGTGGGTATATTCTCTCTCTTATGTCTCAAGCATCTTAGAATGAGGTAAAGTTTGTATACTTTTTAGCTTTTTATCTTTAGTGTGGCTAAAATATTTTTGGCATAAGATGTCATTTAAAGCTGTATATATCCTATATATTAGGCGCTTAGTTTTACGACCTAGGCCGTTAATTGTATTTGCGAATTCAAATCGGAATTGGTTAACATAATATTTCTTATAATATTTACTAACATTTGATTGCTGCATATCACCCATGACTATGTGTCTGCCCACACTACTGCCATTTAATTAGCTTTATTTAAATACTGAAAAAAATATATTCGTACATCATTCATCATCAATACGACTTATCAAAAGTTCACTGCTAAACATAGGACTCCCTCAATAGAATACTCAATTTTGTATTTGCCTTAGTTACAACGTTTAGCAAAAAAGGTTGACAATTGCAATTTTTTATTACTATGATCATCTCCTGTTCCATTTCCCTCTTTCACCTCTCACGACACCTCCGAGATATTATTGGGTAGTGGATTCCTTTACGCAGCCACAACACGACAACATTTGTACAAATATAAGAGACCAACATTTAAACTCTCCACTTCTTTCTTTACTTCATTATTTAGTGAGATCGCATCAAAGTTTACTAAACGATTACAGTTACCTTGTGTGAAGCTAACCAGTAGCAGTTTGCAAACTTTTGACAATGATATTGATAATACGGTACACTAAGCACTTATTTTTGTTTGTTACAGGAAAAGACCGAGGCGTACTTTCTAGGAATATTTTGCGTAGAAGCCTCGTTAAAAATATTAGCCTTAGGTTTTGTTTTACACAGGGGATCGTATCTTAGAAACGTTTGGAACATAATGGATTTTTTCGTTGTAGTAACTGGGTAAGTCATGTTATATTATTATCGTAGTTTTAATAGTGTATCTACATCAAAAGTTCAATTGATTTTGGCCATGTTATTTTCATTAAAATCCAATTCGGTTATTTTACTATCAAAATTATAAAGGACTTTTAAAATAAACATTCTATACACCTATGAGTAGCAAAATAGTAAAAATGAAATGCGTATTGCGTAGAATATGAATTTATTTGTTAGGGAGAGGTCATTTCTGTCATTACTGAAACATTCGATACCAAAAAATAGGTCGATGACAATATTCGCCGAATACAACGTCGACGTTGACCTGCGGATGCTGCGCTCGTTCAGAGTGTTGCGACCTTTGAAGCTCGTCTCGCGGATACCAAGTAATTCACAGTAATTGGCGAAAGTTCACATAATAACTACCTTTATTATATAGAACATTCTCGCTAGAAATTTTCGATCTTCGAACTTTTTGACGTAGAGGAACTATGTCTCTAGTTTTGATAATATAGTATTTTTTTTCTTTTGATTCTTAGTGAGAATGTAGCATCGATTTCTTGCAATTTTTGAGAAATTCGTTTACACTTTAGAGATGTGTTAATTTTGAACAATTTTAATGGACAATGTTAAATGTACGTAATTTGAATTTCGGCTATTTTACGTGTTGCATAATAGTAAAAACTTGCTATTGTTTTATTGTGTATTGTGTAGGTATTCCAAATAAAGGCTAAATGTAAGAATTTAGTTCAATCAATTATATAGGTGTGAATAAACATGGCGCATTTAGATTAAAACTTTTATGATTTAACGTGTGAATAATATGGTAATTAATTAGATATAATACCTAGACAGTAGAGAATAAGCTAGTGTGTGGTCATAAACTGTAAATTTGTAAAGAAGGGTTGTGTTTGTTAGAAAAAATTGATTGCCATTGAATAACCAACCGGGCGAAGAAAATTGGATAGTTATTAAACTTGTCAAACACAATCCTTGGTAGTAAGTTTATTTTAAGCTAGCTGCTAGTGCAGGCTATAGTACCGAGTGATGTGTGTTTGGCAGTATCATCACGCAGCTGCCCGCGGTCGCGCCCGAAGTCGACTTCAGGACCTTGCGTGCCATTAGGGTGCTGAGGCCCCTTAAATTAGTATCGGGCGTTCCTAGTGAGTTCTAGAACATTATTAGTTTAGCATTTGTAGTCTTACCTTTTGCTGTTGTAAAAAATCCATTTTAATGTTTGAAGTAATAAACATATTTCACTGATGAAATGAAATTAACATTATTGTATTTATATGATTGTAAAAATAAAAATAAAAATAAAAAAGTAAATGATATATACGTATTAATAGTATACAAAAATCGATAAGAAAATACGTTTTCTTATTTATAAAATCTAATATTATTTGGAAATTATACAACAGCATAATATCAATGTTCGTCGTGCACGTGATTTTCATTTTTGACTTGTTGATGTATTACTATTTTCATCGTTATTTTTATTTTGCCTTCAGATTTTTACCACATATTTGTATGATTATGATTCTTGTGCATAGTGACATTAAACACACTCTCTTTCATTTTATTACATAAATATTGTTAATTTTAATAACAATTTTACATATTTCGGCAATTCATCAATTCATAACATTTCATCTAATCTTTCACAATACTATTTTTCTTCAAAAATCATTACACACAACTTATTACTGTTACTAAGCATTAACTACGTATTATTTTTCTGTGTATAGGTTTGCAAGTTGTATTGAAGTCCATCATCAAGGCGATGGCCCCGTTGCTTCAGATCGGCCTCTTGGTGCTTTTTGCGATCGTTATATTCGCCATAATTGGCCTCGAATTTTATTCCGGGGCGCTTCATAAGACTTGTTATAGTTTAGAAGATATTAGTAAGTACTTTAAGAATTTTTAAAAATTGTACCATCAATTAGGTTAATAAAAACATATTATTTAAGTTTGTTTAAATCTTGGTGGAAATTTGTGAATTCGGACCCAATCCTAATGCTTAATAAGGTCCACTTTCTTTTTTTAAATAAATTATTTACCAGTGAACTCGCAAGTTGGTGAGATTTTGACGCTGTAGCAACGCAAAAATTTCATTATACATTTAGTTCTGGATAAAATTTCAATATAACCAAAATATATAGTATAATAAGGCTATGAGATAATGAAGGAGAAGTATATCGACGAATCGACTCATTTGTGTGACTGTAGTCCCTATACCACGTTATATGTTGGTTGGGCTATAAAAAGTTGGTTTATATCTGAATATTTGTCTTAATTCAATTTATGTATGAGAAACGCCTCTGGATTACAGACGAGGATATCAGTGTAGGAGGAGCTGATAACGTTTTCGAGTTAAGAGAAGAGTTTTTACGTGATAGAGTCATGCTGCAGTTATATTGTATAGTTGTAGCACGAATGGGTCAGCTCTACCGGGGAAAGACCACGCTCTCACACAATACCAGCGTAAAATAGCAGCTTAACACTGCTGTGTTTCGTATGGTGAGTGCAGAGAACCGGAGACCCTTTTTACTGTAAAAGAGGCATTCCATCTTAGTCCTCACGGGTGAAAACGCATCTGCATTTTGAATTTTTATCGAGGAAAGATGTCGATGTTTATGGATCACAGCAAACACTTATCATCAGGTGGACTGTGTGCTCGTTTGTCACCCTATCCTATAAAAAAAGATAGGCAGCAGCGTTTTCCTTATAAAGACTAAAAATTTAAAAAAAAACTGCGGTTTCCAACACAATAAGATTGCCAAGCGAGGCAACTATGGCGATTATCCCCCTATGAGACCTATGTTCCGCAGTAGACTTTTAATAGGCTGTAATTCTCGCAATGAACCCTCGTATTTTTAGGTTTTGTAATTTTTTTTTCGTCAAAAATTTCCATGACCCGTAAAATCTTTCTTCGAGCCACGTTGCGTTTCTTTACAGTAATGAACAGAACTTTTTACCGATTACAATCACTGGAATGTTTATAATGCTGTCAAAAATCAATAAAAAAAACTGTATAGCGTTAAAAACTTCTTGGTATTTGTTAATTTCGTAAAATAAAAATTGCTTTAAAATGTATACTAACCAAAAAAAAATTTCAATTCGCATTTAAAATTTTAGATGAAATAGTGAATGAAGGCGAGAATCCAACGCCGTGCAATGCCGACAACGAAACAGTGGCACCTCCAGGCGCAAACGTATGCGCGTCAGACAAGAGTACATGTCTAGAAAAGTGGGAAGGGCCGAATCGTGGCATCACGTCGTTCGATAACATCGGCTTCGCTATGCTCACCGTCTTCCAATGCATTACCATGGAGGGCTGGACATCCATCCTCTACTGGGTAAACTTTGTTGTTTTCTTTAATAATTTATGAGCTGCTAGTCTTATTTGACTTGTATATCTCACTTATATAGTAACTATTATAGGGTAATGTATATAAATTTACTCTAAAAATAAATTATGGAGACCAGTCGTTATGTGTTACGAGAGGAGATCGTCTTGTAATAATTATAATTATATCTAAATAAATTGAAATATATGGCTAAAATTTTAAACATTACGAAACTCATTTCGTAACTTTTTATGCTTGTTTCAGACAAATGATGCATTAGGTAGTATGTTCAACTGGATATACTTTGTACCTCTCATAGTATTGGGTTCATTCTTCATGCTCAACTTAGTTCTCGGTGTCCTTAGCGGGTAAGTTTCTGAACTGATTTAGGTATTTAAAGCGCTTCTGTTGTTTTATTTTATTATTTGTTGTGTTAATTTTATTTCTATATCATTAAGAGTAAATTTTTGGGTAATATGCAGTGAGTTCTCTAATGAAAGAACCAGAGTCGAGAGACGAGCTCAATTCCAAAAGGAAAGAGCTCGCCAGATGTTTAATCAAGATTTCACAGCATATATCAATTGGATAACAGAAGCAGGTTGGAATATGACAAATAATTGTGTAAATAATTACGCTATTTATCTAAAACACCTGTAGATAATTACAAGTGGTAATTAAATTTCATGTATATTTATTTCGGTTGTTTTTTTTTTGTTTATAATTTGGTAAGCTATTTTTATTATTAGTATATTTTATTTTTTATTTTTAAAAACTAAATAATAATATGAAAAGTAAAGATATCGGACGGTATTGAGTACAATTCAGTGATTAACGATAGCCAGATATTGGCAACTTTGTAATAATAATGCCCGTATACACTCAAACGCAACTAAATTTTAAGATGTCGTTAAGTCTCGTGGTGTAACAGCCATTTTGACTTAAAGTGATAGAGACAGCCATAAATAATATAATAAAATGTATACATACATATATATTGGTATCAATAAAGTAATGAAGCAATTAATAAAATCAGAAAAATTCAAAGGCATTCCTTTTAACTATATTCAAGTATGTTGTGGAATGTTCCATACTCTGCAAGATTATGGAGCGTATTGAACGCCCATCTCATGGCATACCTAGAGCAGAATGATCTCCTCAGTGACCGCCAGTACGGGTTTCGCCTAAATCGATCAACTGGGGACCTTCTGGCGTATGCCACTCACATATGGGGCGAGCCCTCGAAAACAGTGGTGAAGCACTTGCTGTTTCCCTCGATGTTTCGAAGGCTTTTGACAGGGTTTGGCACGCTATCAGGCTCTCAGGTCTATCAGGCAAGCTTTCAGTGTACGGCTTATCCCCTGGCCTAATTGACTGGGTGAAGGACTTTCTGAGTGATCGATTTCTCCGTGTCGTCATCGATGGCTGCTCGTCCTATCTTATCGCGACAAACACCGGATTTCCTCAGGGGTCCGTTCTCTCCGCAACTCTCATCTTGCTGCATATAAATGATCTGCTCATTCCCGGCATCTATAGGTATGCAGAAGACAGCACAGTTGTGGAGGGATACCAACCAAGTGCTCGGGCTATTAGGGATCAAATGATCCCTAAGATCAAATGAATGAATCTCACACTATAGGCAGTCTCTGAATGGGGCGATGCCAATCTCGTGAGATTCAACGCCTCCAAAACACAAATGTGTCTTTTCACCGCTAAAAGGAGCGCGCTCACTTTGGCTCCTACTTTCCGGAATGTATCCTTTGAGACAATTGACCGCCTTCAGTTGTTAGGGGTTGAATTTTCTCCGAACCTCAACTATGGGAGGTCCATTGAGTCCAGAGTTAAAGCAGCCACAAAGAAACTTGGTGTCCTTCTATGCCTTGGTACTTCACGCCGGTGCAGCTTCTTACCTTATATAAAGCGCAAGTCCGGTCATGCATGGAGTACTGCTGTCATATATGGGCTGGTGCCGCAAAATGCCACCTGGAAGCGTTGGACTCAGTGAAGAGACGTGCTAAGAGGCTCGTTGGTGTCTTAATTTGGTTGAAACCAATCTTGTCAGCCTCGAGCACAGGCGCAGAGTATCAAGTCTCTTGTTATTCTATAGGATGCATTTCGATAAGTGTGCGCAGGAATTACACGCTTTAATTCCTCCCTATTCTTTCACCATCGGAAAAGCTGGCGGTCGGCGGGTCTTCACTCCTTTGTTGTTGATATTCCACGCATTAGAACCAAACGGTTTGCTTCGTCTTTTGTAATGCGTACAGCAAAGGAGTGGAATAATTTGCCGGCGTCTATCTTTCCGTCCGAATACAATCTGGGCGTCTTCAAGGCAAGAGTTAATAGGCTTTTGTTACGCTAAGACAGTGCGATTTACCATCTAATGCTGCATCAGCACTTACCACCATGTGGGCTTGTGGTCAAGCACTGGCTTATAATAAGTTAAAAAAAATGTTCGCAATAGTCCACTCGTTAACAATTGAGTTAATTATAAAGTTGACGAATAATATTTTCGAATGTGCATTTCTACGAGTGTCTGTCAGGCGAGCCAGATTAGGATTCGATAGTATGCTAGAGAATCTCGCTAGTTTAAGTCATAGTAGGCTCAACGCTCATTAGGACGACCACTTTCAAAGACGAAGATTTATACGGAGAGTTTCAGTTGAACCCAAATGCCAACACTGCTATAGAATATCATGTTGTATTTTAAACACTTCACTTATGTAAGTTTTATAATAATAATATGTTCCTTACGTATGTATGTTTTTAAGTGATTAAAAACATACATACGTGAAAAAAAAAGAACAATAATATTTCTCATTACTATCCTGTCAACTCGATAATTTCAATATTTTTTTATATGTGCGCGAATACTACACATTAAATCTAACTAATTTTATAGATTATATCTAATTTAATTTATTTAAAACTTCCCCCTTATCACGAGAACGTTGAAAGCCTTAGTCGACCTGTTAGCATAGATGCTGCAAAGTACTCCCCTTAACTTCTATTTAGATTCTAGGAATTTCAAAAAGAAAAGACAATTAAACTCGATAAAATCCATAACATTAGTTTCATACAGCACGTAATAATAATTTCCAACGAAGCTGTTGAATAATTCTATTTATCAGTTTTGAATGTAGATGCGCTACTCAGTTATTGGTAAATTTTTATAAAGGTATTGAATTACATAACTTATTAAGCTACACATTCACTAAAAAATAGAATTGAAAACAATTTCCGTAGTAAGTAATTTCGACATACTATGCTAGTCGTAGCTAAGATAGAATTAAAGTCGCAAATTCAAAATCAAACATGTAATAGTTGCTAGAATATTATAGATTTCACGCTATTTTGCAGTGAATTTGCTAAAGAAAGAGAGAAAGTAGAAAATAGGCAAGAATTTCTTAAATTAAGAAGACAGCAGCAATTAGAAAGAGAACTCAATGGTTATGTTGAGTGGATTTGTAAAGCAGGTAAGAATAATTGACAGTCAGTTGTTTTTTTTAATTGGTGCGGATTTGTATAAGTACTAAATTTGAAATAATATTTTTTTTAATTACAGAGGAAGTTATATTAGCCGAAGAAAGGACTACAGAAGAAGAAAAAATGCACATAATAGAAGGTAAGGAAGGACAATATTGAATAACTTGTAATTACATTTAACTGTCGCATTAATAGTATCTTAGTTTTCGATCATCTTGCGGTGGCTACATACCTTAGAGTATTAATAAGCATATTTTGCTTATAAATACTCTAAATTATAAGTATATACATACCTACATGAAAATATATTAATAGTGATTAGCTACTTACGGAAAAATCCTCTGGTGACTTGATGGCGATAAACCGACTCTCATTCACAACTAGGCCGGCAAAGCAGTATCAAAGGTGTGAGATTCTGGTATCATTTAAAAGAGTAGGCGAGAAGTCCAACTGTGGACTATTTATGAACTGATGAAAATAATAATTTTCCTTTACTAAAATCATCTTCAAATTATTATTTTTGGTGTTTTTATAAACTTTCTAATTCTTATCTTCCATTATTAACAGCGCGAAGAAGAGCGGCAGCCAAGAAAAAATTGAAAAATCTTGGTAAAAGTAAAAGTACAGATACAGAAGAGGAGGAACAGGATGAAGATTGTGGTGATGACGGTCAGTATACTACACTCAAAATTTTGTGTGAATGTTTTGTGCTGTGTGTTGTGTACTCAAGTAAAATTTATATCTTTTATTATTATTTCAATTACACAAAAACAACTTTTAATTATTTGCGTAAATTGGGACATTAATTTAGTTTTTCCTTTTTATGTCATTAATAGTGATATAATAGATTCATTTATTATCGAAAGATGCTAGTCAAGTAAATTTCAATGTATACATACATAAATAGATAGCTAAGTATATCATTTCGTCCATTAGACTACTATTTCAGTATGTTGCATGTTTTATTGTATCTTGTGTCTAAAAACTATTTCTTATCCATTTCATTCTGTACGGTGATGTATTTGTGTGTTGGTTGTTTACAGTTCCAAAGAAAAAGCAAGGTATGGGATCAAGCGTGATTCTGGTAGAATATTCCTTTTCATTTTCTACGTAGTCGAATTAGTTTAGTTGTAGCTATAGGCTTAGCAACCCCTCAGAACCGGTCAATTTATGTCATCATATCTAAAGCCGTTTCTTTTCCTCTAGTCCTTTAGTTTATGAGCACTGTAGTACAATAGGAACTATAACAATAACATTACAAACAAATTAAATTTAAGTCCCAGGGATTTGGTTTTATGTACCTGTATATTTTTTTTAACAATCGAAAGTTACCTTAAAACGTAACGAGTAGTTTTATTTATTTTTTAAAATACCACTACTTTACGTATCTGAAAAGGTTAGATAATTTGGTAAGATCAGAGTGTAATAAAACCCCAATAAAAAAAAATAATTTCGTGGTTTGTGAAGTTCTAGTTTTATTCACTTTTTTAATAAAATATTGCATTGAAGATGTCAACAAAAATGACAATAATGAGTATAATATATGTACAAGTATCTAAAAACTTGAGTTTATTCTAATGTTACTATTTGAAACAGGTTTTCTGAAAAGCAAAGCTCGTTCCGCCGGCAAATGTGCAGACTTTTGGCGGGCAGAGAAGAGATTTCGATTTTGGATCAGACACACCGTGAAAACACAATGGTTCTACTGGTTCGTTATAGTTCTGGTACTCTTCAATACAATATGTGTTGCAGTTGAACATTACGGTCAACCCCCGTGGCTGACTTCGTTTTTATGTAAGTTTTATTATAATTTTAATGTAAATTAATTAAATAATTAAAAAGAAATAACATTATTTTAATGTTTGCTTACAGATTATGCTGAATTTGTTTTTCTTGGGCTATTTATGATGGAAATGTGGGTAAAAATGTATGCGTTAGGCCCACGAATATATTTTGAATCATCGTTTAATCGTTTTGATTGCGTTGTAATATCCGGTTCCATTTTCGAAGTAGTATGGTCGGAAGTTAAAGGCGGATCTTTTGGTCTTTCTGTTCTTAGAGCGTTAAGATTGTTAAGAATTTTCAAGGTAAATAACTAAGCACTTAGCTACTCGAATATTTTTATCTTCAATGAAATTTAATTCAAATGTACTAAATTTTAGGTTACAAAATACTGGTCTTCGCTGCGCAACCTCGTAATATCCCTCCTCAACTCTATGAGATCTATCATTTCATTGCTGTTCCTTCTATTCTTGTTTATACTCATCTTTGCGCTACTTGGTATGCAATTATTCGGGGGGCAATTTAACTTCGAAGATGGCACACCACCGACCAATTTCAACACTTTTCCTATTGCTCTACTTACCGTATTCCAGGTATGAGATTTTATATTATAATAGTTATTAAATTTTATTGATAATATCAGAAATAATAATTCTTGTTATCGTGTAATTATATTTGTTGATTATAATTTGATAGATTAATAAGCTTTATTTCGCCAAATTGTAGCGACGTAAGGGAAAAAACTATTTAAAAAAAAACTGTAATAAGCGAGCAAACAGTCCACCTCATAGGAACTAGATACTGTGGCCCATAAAAACCTGCGTCTATCCTCGACTAAAAATCAAAATACGGATACGTTATCATCCTTGAGGACTAAGACGGAATGCCATACGAAATACAGCAATAATGCTAATAATTTCTCGCTGATATTCTTTGAGCGTGATCCTTTCCCCATCGAGCCGAACCATTAGTGCTGAAAACTTAATATACTACAGTGTGGCTTTACCACATAACAATATCCAGCAGGAGACTACTTACTGGCTTAGGGCAAGAAGATTGTATTATGTACAACATTTTCTCTACTACAAGATATTATTGTTATTCAATTTAGTTATAATGACTTTTTTCTTTTATAGATCCTAACAGGTGAAGATTGGAATGAAGTAATGTACTGCGGTATACAATCGCAGGGTGGCACACAAGCAGGAATGCTCTATTCTTTGTACTTTGTCATACTTGTACTGTTTGGCAACTACACACTACTGAACGTGTTTCTTGCCATCGCGGTGGACAATTTGGCAAATGCACAGGTAAAGTTTTCTAATGCCACTTTTGTACTCTCTAGTATTAACTATGTACAGATTGTCAAAATATTTCAAAGCGTGACTAATGGAACTGAATGTTTGTTGTGTTTTGATGTCATTGCTAATTGTATATGACGCCGCTTCCTGCATAAATGTGGCTGTTCTGTGTTTCCAGGAGCTAACAGCAGCAGAAGAAGAGCAAGTGGAAGAGGATAAAGAAAAACAGCTACAAGTAAGTTTTCAGAATGTATATTATATTTTCATGTTAATTTACCTATTCTCTTAGAATGTTCTGTTCATCCTCCAACGCTTTTAACTGTAGTTAATCACAACTTCCATACTTGCGCACTATTAGTCAAAATTGTATAAAAATCGTTAAACGGTTGTTGTATGGATTGTATAATGCGATTATATGCAAGTAAAGCTAAAATTTTATTTCATACGACAACCTCTGTTTCGGCTAATTAGGAATTGGAGAAAGAGATGGGTGCATTACACGCGGTGGATGGAACTCCACCTCGAGTAGACATAAGTCCTACATCAGCGGCAAGTAGGAAGGTAAAAGATGTCGGTGGTGGTACTCAGCTATGCTTACTGTGTGCTTTGGTTTAGACAGTGTAAAATATTGTTGATTTAGTTCCATTCGTGTTTTAACATTTTCTGACGTATATAAATCAGTTTATTTATGCAGATCCTAGTTTTTATAAATTATATTTAAGAAATTAATTCAATAATGTCAATAGATTTTAATTGCTTGTATTAGTAAATTTTATTGCAATATTAAAAATTACAAATATTAGTGCATAGTGGGTCACTATTAAAATAGAATGTTTGAAGCAAGATACGAATATATACTTATTTCAAATTAACAATATTTTTGTCCTTGTCTAAAAAGAGTAAGTCAGTGTCGCTTTTATAAATGAAAATGGATGGGAAATATTGTTTTATATATATATAGAACAAATATACTTAATTTTTTAATTAAATTACTACCAATTGTAATAATTTAGTTTTGGCATTGGCTTAACAGTTTTATGACGCTATCGTGTATGAATATAATATTAGAAGACGAATGCATGCCTAGTAATAAAATTTACATATTAATTTTAAAGAATTGTATGGAAATTACAAAATACTTTTATTTACATAGCTTAAAAGAATTCAACCAACGCTTACCGATCATAATATGTTTAAATAACTGAATAATGTTTTTATTATAGATTTATTATGTACTTTTACTGATATCATACATTTATCGTACTAATAGTTGAATGGTGGGTATAATGAAATATGTAGTGAGGATATAAGCAAAAACAAAACTATACCCTTATTATTTTAGCATTAGATTTTATGGAAACGATTTCTACTTACACTTAAATTTTGATGTGTTGGGATTATATGAGGGTATATTTTTGTTTACCTTTTGTCTCATATTTTGTTAAGTGATTTATAATATTTTCAGAACAAAAAGAAAGAAGAGGCCAAAAAGGAAGAAGAAGAGATACCAGATGGACCAAAACCAATGCTGCCATATTCGTCCATGTTTATTTTATCACCAACTAATCCGTAAGTGAATAATCACATGAATGTTTGATAATCTATGTACAAATATATGAAATATTGGATATTTTAAATATTAACTTCTATCCATTACAGAATTAGGCGAGGCGCACACTGGGTTGTAAATTTAAGATATTTTGATGTTTTTATCATGTTAGTTATATGTATGAGTTCAATGGCTTTAGCGGCAGAAGATCCAGTAGTTGAAGAAAGTGAAAGGTAAATACAAACAATAAAGTAAAATAATTACTAAGTATTTCCGGCAAAAATAAAAATCATAGACACGAGTTAAATTTTATTGGATTTTTAATATACTAGATACTAAGATATTACGCGTTTAATGGAATTTCGTAACACCTCATTTTGCGAACGATTTAATTTTTGCAAATTAATTAGAATTAATTTATTAATTAAATTTCTTTTCTAATTCTTACAGAAACAAAATCCTTAACTACTTTGACTATGCGTTCACGGGAGTGTTTACCGTGGAGATGCTGCTGAAAATCGTCGACCTCGGCATTCTATTCCATCCGGGCGCTTACTTGCGCGACTTGTGGAATATCATGGACGCTGCCGTCGTAATCTGCGCGCTTGTCAGCTTCGGTTTTGAAATCGGGTACATTTTGATTTTCAAAGCTTCTGCTTTATTTATTTTTTATAGTATCTGAGCTATCAAACTTTCGACCTTAGAAACAAAAAATAATTTTGTCATCAAATAGGATTATTATCTTACTTAGTAATGTCTGGTGACTGTGGTCATTATATGTTGTTTCCTCTTATTGTAGAGCTTAACTCACTCGCCAGATTTACAAAATACAAGTTAATAAAACGGTTCTAGTTTTGCGCTATAAAGTTCAGACAGTCTTTCATAATGTAGATTTTATATTAAAGTAGATCCTAGAGATTATAATGCAGTAATACAAAAGCAGTATAGATTATGAATAATATTTTCCAACATTATAGTAAGAAAAACAGCAGAAAACCTACATGGTGGCAAGTGGCTATATCAGACCATCGACACATGTAACCAATTTCAAAATAAGAATCCCAACATATTTCAAATATGCGTCATGCGGATTTAGTGAAATGCTCACTGTCTGTAATTTTACGAGCTTATTTACTCTGTAAATTGGGACGTAGCAGTATGTACACTACTGCTTAGCTGTAGAAGTAATGTTCTTCTATTGTTTCAGAGGTGTGAAGAAAGGAGCCGGTCAGAATTTGTCTACAATAAAATCATTAAGAGTGTTAAGAGTGCTTAGACCATTAAAGACTATAAAGCGTGTTCCAAAATTAAAAGCAGTGTTTGACTGTGTCGTGAACTCTTTGAAAAATGTCATTAACATTCTCATAGTGTACATATTGTTTCAATTCATATTCGCTGTAATTGCAGTTCAACTTTTTAATGGTAAATTTTTTAATTGCAACGATATCAGTAAGAATACTCTTCAAGACTGCCAGTAAGTATTTTCTTTATGTAAATTAATACTGTTAGTTATATAGTTTTAATTTTTATGGTAATTTAACTCTATACTACTAATTAAATATTCTAAATTAATTCTTCTGTGCCCGAAATTGATTACTATATGACGAAAGAGATGAAGCATCCGAATAAAGTGTATTTACCTTAATAATTACAACAACGAGTGTTAATGCACCCATTACGAATATAATTTATTGTATTTAGTAATGTAATGCGTTATCAATTTATTAATAATTTATCGTTTCTGGTTAAAACTGCCTTCTGTGTCAAACTCTTAGATATAATCAAATGAAAATATTTATATGTTTTTAGATATGTGTATATAGTTTTGAGACGGAAATAAAGGTGGGTTATTTGAATGTAAACAAAAGCAGCCAAAAGGAAATAAACCAAATCATCATTCATCACATGCACACTTAAATTAACGCTACGTACTTTTCGCAGAGGGTCGTATTTTGTCTACGAAGCGAACAGTCTGCTACCGCGAGTAGTCAAACGGAAGTGGGATACACAATCCTTCCATTATGACAACGTGGCGTCAGCGATGCTAACGCTTTTTGCAGTACAGACTGGAGAAGGATGGCCACAGTATGTAACTTAATGCATATAAGATTAACATTTTATACGAAATTTTTGATAACGTGGTAGCTACTTTGCAACTATGTTATATAGTTGCAGTATGAATAGGTCGGCCCAACCGGCGAAGGACAACCCTTTCACAGTATACTAGCGTAAAGTAGCAGCTTAATGCTGTTGTGTTTTGTATGAAGAGTTTTTTTCTAACTTTGCTCTCACGTACTATATTTTAATATTTAATTTTTTTTATAGTATAAGGGTGACAAACGAGCACACAGTCCACCTGATGGTAAGTAGTCGCTGTGGCCCATAGACATCTACATCTATCTTCGATTAAGAGTCAAAATGCAGATGCGTTGTCACCCGTGAGGACTACTCCAGTAAAAAGGGTCTCCGGTTCTCTACACTCACCATACGAAACACAGCAGCGTTAAGCTGCTATTTTACGCTGGTATTCTGTGAGAGCGTGGTCCTTCCCCGGTCGAGCTGACCCATTCGTGCTACAACCATAATATAGATGCAGCATGGCTCTACCACGCATAAAAACGAGTAATTGAATATAGATGTAGATATCTACGGGCTACAGAATTATTTTACCATGAGGTGGACTGTGTGCTCATTTCTTACCCTTATTCTATAAAAAAAACTTCTTCCTCTTTTTTATGCCTTTCTTGACTATATATTTAAATTCGCCAATGACGTAATAACGTAACTTCCTCGTCCCAGCATTTATTAAACATTTTATTTATATTATGAGTTTTATTACGAGTAAAAAAATGCCCCAAAACATATTAGAAATTTTCAAACTTGTGTGCAACAGTATGAAAGATTCTATAATTTGGTATATTATTTAGGTTAATTATTCTTCATTACGAAAAAGTAAGAAATTAATGTCACATTATTTTACAGAGTGTTGCAAAACTCAATGGCGGCAACGTATGAAGACAGGGGACCCATACAAAATTTTCGAATAGAAATGTCCATATTTTATATAGTTTACTTTGTGGTGTTTCCGTTTTTCTTTGTTAACATATTCGTAGCCCTTATAATTATTACATTTCAAGAGCAGGGTGAAGCTGAATTACAGGATGGTGAAATTGATAAAAATCAGGTGCGTTCTTCCAATTTATGTATGCATTCCATAAATTTGTTTATTTACACTAAATTTCAAAACCTCGTGAATTACTTACCTCTAATTATTCTTTCACAGAAATCTTGTATTGATTTCACGATAGAAGCTCGACCTCTTGAGAGGTATATGCCAAGCAAAAGAGGGAGTTTTAAGTACAAAGTGTGGAGAGTAGTCGTCTCTACGCCCTTCGAGTACTTCATCATGACCCTAATCGTCCTTAATACTTTGTTACTCATGATGAAGGTACGTATTTTTTAATTTTAACTAATATTAGAATTTGATTATACAAAACATTATAATAAATTCCAATACATTAAAATGACATTATTTTAATAAACACTTCCATCATGAATAATCGAGACGAAAACAAACTACGATGAAATCACGTAGTTAACAATCACGTGTAAAGTTAGCAGCAACAGGGAATTTTAACTAAAATCGCAAAGCACGTAAAATTTTATGTTAGATGGTATTTGGTTCAATGTTGTGCGACAGTTTAAACTCGGCCTTTCCAGAGAGTAAAATCAATTTTTTTTATTGATCGTTTAATAGTTCGATAAAATTCTCTCTGGTTTGGCGACGTGTGTCGTGTTTATCGTTTGTATGCCTATTACCACAAAGTCTCAAGCAGTAATGTAACATTCTCGAGTTTTATTATCTTTCATGCCAATATTAAATAGTAAATATATTATACAACGAATTGACAAACGCTAGTACTGCCTACATTCCTCATTACATTATCACTTATTCACACTGTACATTAACAATTTTACACACACATTCAATATACAGCGTAATATTTTATCAACAGTACACATACATACTGCAATGGAATGCGCCATCAAAAAGTCTGACTGAGCCTATCCCTCTATTGTACTGCCAGGACTATTTGTATTTTCTTTATTTTATTTTGTGTTTTGTTACGTGAATCTTTTGTGACTATTGCTTGCTGTAACTTATATATATGTATATGTATGTATCAATAATATTATATATGTAATGCACGGCATAAAATTCCTGCACATCTGACGCACTACGAAAAAACACGTTTTAAATTGTTAATGGTGCTTCTAAATGCACAATCTTCGCCATTGGTCCGGCCGCGGCTTACGCGACATTAATGTTGTTCGTCTTGCATGATAATATGTTTTAAAAGCATTCTTATTCTCATCGATGTACCGTATGAGCATGATTAGAACGGCAAGAGAATCAATATACCGTTATGTGGCTTTGAGCTGCTTATGTTGTGAAATAATTACTACAATAATTCGATTTTAGATCCTAAAGATATATATAAGTAAACCTCCAAAACGTACTTTAATAAATTGTACGTCGAAATCTCATATACTTTTGAATATTTATATTATGTTTTGCATGTAATAATTTATTGTAAGTATATAATTTAACATACATACATATCCCTTATTTTCTCTTTTGGTTTTTAATGATTTGTCATTTAAAATATATATTATATTAGAATAAGCACGATTCGTTAGTACGTTCCGATTTTATTATTTTTGGTTTCTGGAAAAACTATAAAATAAATACCCTACATAGTTATAAACAAATCCAATTCTATACTTTACAATCGTAGTTCATTATATTTTAAAATCATATTTCCATTAACCTACAATCAAGTAACAAAAATGTATTTTTATTGGGCTTTTCCGACACGTCATCACAAAACGGCAGTACTATAAACAAAATGACCTCTATGCTGATATCCTCAAGTATTCGAATATGGGGTTTACTGGAATGTTTTCCGTGGAAACGGTGTTGAAAATCATCGCTTACGGTGTCAAAGTAAGTACACAAGCGCAGTTTCACTGACACTTTATTTGTTGAAATTGCAAATATAAAAATCATCAAATGATACAAATGTACACTTTCTGTTGACAAGGTGTTATTTTTTTTAATTACAAGACTGCATTGAAACTATTTTTGGCCAAGTAATATATGTATATTATTTTATATTCCTTTCCAACCATCCTTCACTGGTTTCTCTCTAAATAATTAAAGAAATTACATTAAATAATTAACAAACAGTATGTACAACGCATGGCCTATCGAATGCATGTTTTACATTTGAACACAAATAAAATTTTACTAATGCTTTACTAACATACTTAAACATGAATCCAAGCTTTTGTTTAGATTCGTACGTGATTACCAGCTCGTGATAAGGTAAGTGATATCACTTCTTTACATTGTCTATTTGAGAAGAACTAATGTAAACTATGCGAATTGTGTTGCTTTAAACATCTGCTATTTCTTGAAAGGGAATTCACGTGTATTTTTGAAACCCTACAAGCATGATTGTATATTGGGCTCTGCATGACGCACGTGCACTAGCCATAAATTATGTACACCATAACACAAATACGAGTATTGGCTCAAGAGTATTCCAATCTAAAACAGAACACAGACATACACACAAAATCGATACATTAACATTGTGTGACAATTGATTTAGTTCTTTTAACATAGCAGGTAGATAAATAATATATTTTACTCAAAACAGAATGAGCTAAATGCTAAATGTAATTTTATATTTTATAAGTGTTTCATACGAAGTTGTATTCTTGTTTAACATTTGTCGATACATTAGTAATTTAGCATTTAGCTTTGATGTTGACTTTAAAAAGTCTTAAAATATTTGGTCTTGGTTTGTGGTAGTTTCACGAGGCTCCACCAGTACTCATGGACACGTTAACATTCATGAACATCGTCTTTACGTTCTTCTTCCTACTCGAGACTGTTTTGAAGCTAATTGCCTTCGGATGTACGGTAAGAGTTTAAAGCAATTTTAATATTAAGCCTATTAAGTACTACGAGTACATTAAGATGGTGTACAGTATACATGGAATTTTATCAATTGCTTAAATTTTAAAAATTGTTTGAATTCTGTGTATATATACCTACATAGTACCAATCACCCTATGAGTAAAACGAAAAGAAATATAAAGAAATAATACTTAATATAAAATAGTTTTGGTTACCTTTAATATATTTTCGTTATTTACTCAATGAGCGATTGTATTGATTGCGTTTGCAAGTTATGTACACATTTTAAAAATATATTAGTTCAGCTTACAAAATTCAACATTGACTTGAATATGATTAGAATATAATTAGAATTGTTATTATATTATGAACGATATTTTGAGATGCCGCTTTTTTATATTATTTAATATAACACAGGTTCTTAATAGTTTAAAATTTCACGTTATTACGATTTGCTTTTATGAATAGAGAAATTGAGAGAAATATCCTCATTCCCATCCTTGAATCATCCTTTTTGGATCCGTTTTATATATAGAAAGCGTACATTTGTATACAGGTATAAAGTTTTCTATCTATATAAAGTAATTAATAGCAATTTAATATTTTATTAAAGCTTTCTCTTCAAAATTATACTACTATTAAAATTAATATTTTTAAAATATGAATTAAGACTGGTGAAAAATTGCCAACTGAAGATTAGATTCTTTATGATTTTTTAATAATCTATCATTTAGAGTTTATATTTACGCTTTAGTGTTTTTAATTTATTCGTAATCTTACGTGTTATGATTACAGAATTTTTTCAAAGATCCATGGAACATTTTTGATTTCATAACGGTCATTGGAAGTATTATTGACGCTCTTATTATGGAGTTTGGCGTGAGTACCTTATTTTTCTATTTTAGTTCTAATGTCGATTACGATACACTGTCGAACTGTTTTGTTGTCTTAATTTTATTTCTGGGGGTTTATGTAAAGGAAATAAATATCCTGATTCCAGAGTGACCTTGCTGAAAACTGTGCTGACATATCCTGTCAGCAGGTAAAGATTTAATCATTTCACTGCTAGGAGTTTTAGTCTAGTCAAGTACTCCAGTTTGTAATAAGCATAGATTGAGTTTTATAATATAAGAGAATTCGATATTGGTAGTGCTAGATTTATTTAAATATAATTGACTGCATAGATACAGAGGAAGTACTGTCGTTAATATATGTTTTCAATATTTATTAGGATAAAGTAATGTTTTGTGAAAAAAGAATATAGACCATATTTTTAATTTTTTGAGGTAAATTTGCTAATATTTTATATATAGTATCGACTTAAAAGTAATGAAAACCAATAAGGTCAATTAGGATATTTAGATTTGCTAGATTTAATTGTTTTAAGTGTGTTTTTAAATATAAAGGTCTTTGTCTAGACTCTAGAGCTTTTTATTTGATGTGTTTTAATTATGTGTGATAGAATTTATAGAAGTCATATATTGTTTTGTGATTACATGACTCAACAGTAGTGTCGCTAAATTATTTTCGCTTTTATTTGCATTAAATTGCAACTACAATTCACTCAGTCTTATCGAGTTACCTATTAGTGTTTTCAAATGTTTCAATTTAATAACTTATTACGTTTTCATAATAATTTCTATTTTATAATCAGTCATTTCGATACAAGTTTAAAGACTTTGTGAATTGCATATTATATATTTACATTTTTAAAAATAATGAATAGCTCGAAGGAAATTTAAAAGAAATATTACGAACTTATATCATTGAATTTCTGTGTAGATTAGCATCTTTAATCCACGTAATTGGAATTTTAATCGACCTCAATGAACCACCACCTATTATATAAATGCGCTATTTTTATATTTTTTACTAAATTGAAATATTAAATTATTCTCATACAAAAGTATTCATTATTAGCAGTATTTGTGAATTTACGATGTGATCTAACAATAAATAGACGTTATAGATGCAAATAGTGTGTTGTATTGTTGTTATTTTATTATAAATATTTTTTTAATTTTGTAACCAAAGAAATTAAAATCTCAATAAAAGAAAACTTAAACTATTACAGGAGAACACATTCAACGTTGGATTCCTCCGCCTGTTTCGAGCCGCGCGACTGATCAAGCTGCTGAGACAAGGCTATACAATTCGGATACTTTTATGGACATTCGTGCAGAGTTTTAAAGCCTTACCCTACGTGTGCCTTCTCATCGCGATGCTATTCTTCATATATGCTATTATCGGAATGCAGGTGCTTCTATTTAGCTAGTTATTTCTTTGTTCATTAATCGTCTCATCATCTTTCACAATAACTTTAACATATAAAAGTAAATAAAACTTAAAGAAAAAAGTGTTATATCTAAAGTGTAGTGTATTACATCAAAACATATATATTTAGTGTTGTGTTGAAAATTCCAAATATTGCGAAACTAAACAGTGAACTTTAAGATATTTTTTTCTCCTTTACAGGTGTTTGGCAATATAGAAAATGCGCCTGAAACAGCCATGAACCGGCATAACAATTTTCAAAGCTTCATTCAAGCACTTATGTTATTATTCAGGTATTCTCATTTTTGCTAGTTAATATTTTATAATCAATGTTGTATGAATACTCTATTATATTGAAACGAAATATATTGATTTAATCTTTATTAACCTTTAAATAATCTTAGATGTGCGACGGGAGAATCTTGGCCAAACATTATGTTGGATTGTCTGAAGCCGGCAAAATGTGACGAGAAAGCTGGCAAGCCGCCCCAGGAAGAATGTGGAAGCACACTAGCCTACGCATATTTCGTTTCTTTTATATTCTTCTGTTCCTTTCTTGTAAGTATATTCGATAACACACGTTAACACTTAAGAAAAGTCACAAAAGTCTGTAATTTATTCACTGACCATTTTGTTTTAGATGTTAAATTTATTCGTTGCTGTCATTATGGATAATTTTGACTATTTGACAAGAGACTCGTCCATTCTTGGGGCGCATCATCTCGATGAATTTGTTAGAATATGGGCTGAATACGACCCAAATGCTACGTACGTACTTCTTTTTGACACTATAAAAGCAATATATACAAATATATAGAAGAATTATTTAGAAAAAAAAATGCTTTAATTTTATATTTGCTTTTTTTATTACATTTCAGAGGGAAAATCCATTATACAGAAATGTACGATATGTTAAAGAATATGGATCCGCCCTTGGGGTTTGGTAATAAATGCCCAAATAGATTAGCGTATAAAAAATTAATAAGAATGAACATGCCACTAGATGAAGAAGGAAAAGTGAATTTCACAACAACTCTTTTTGCCTTAATTCGTGAAAATCTTAACATAAAGATGAGATCTGGTAATTATATAAACGTTCTATACTTAATCACCACAAGTTTTTTTTTTTGTGAAATTAATAAAATATTCCATTTCTGTAAAAAGCTGAAGAGATGGATCAAGCTGATCAGGAGTTAAGACAAACTATAACACAAATATGGCCTCTCCAAGCGAAGAAGATGCTAGACTTGCTGGTGCCTCGTAATGATGTTCTTAACGCAGGAAAACTGACAGTCGGGAAGATCTACGCAGGACTGCTTATTCTAGAGAGTTGGAGATCGACTAGGTTTGGTCAGACAGAACCACAGGGTGTTCCGGTAAGCCTTCTAATAAATTTAAAAAAATAATTTACTACGCACCGTATTTATTTAAATTTTATTTTTATTATTCTTAGACACTAAAGTCTCATCAAGTTGTTGGTAGAATTATATGAAGCCAGAGCAATCTGTTTGGCTACTGATTGTAACAATCTGCACTATTTTCGTAACTTTGAGCCAAATGTGGTTAGGTTAACTACACTTTTAAGAGTAGTGTTTGTTGATAACCCCCAACTATTCCTTATATTTAGTTATTAAATTACCGTGTAATAATAGCTAGTCGTAATAGTATTTGTATTGTTTATCTGTGGATGTATTGTTGTCTATATTGACGTTCTAATATTTTTACCCGAGGAATAACGTCATTCTTCAATTGTTTCTTATATAAATAAATATACTTGCAAAGATTACAACAATACAGCGTCACTTTAGTTAAAATCGGCTCCATTGAGTCGACTACATTGGTGGTTTACTTTTCAGGCATTCAGCGAGAATAGCCCTACGGCCAATCAGCCGGTAGTATTTAAAACTTTAATGAACGAATATTTAATTTTTCTTGCACCGTTCTAGTTTTTCTCTTATATTTTATTTTTCTGTCATATCATGTTTTGGCATCGTGTTTGAATTTTGAATATTTTGAATATTGATTACATACTAACTATGAAGACAACTAAATACAAAAATAGTACAATCTATTATGAAGTCTTCAAGTTATAAACGAAGTAGTTTAGTGGTCTGGACAATAATAAAATAGATTTAGAAGTAATTTCATATTTTTCATATTAGATAAAACAATTTTGTGCTAATATAGTACAAAATTGGCAATCAAATATAATTCAGGGCATCGTAAACCACACTTTAGTGACCTGTCCTATAGTTGCAAAATTCTTATTTAGTTTTTTAGAAAACTGTACTCGTTTGAAGAGTGGTTGGAATTGGATTCTTGTAGTGTTAGAATTATGTCTTTTGTAGAATTGTTTTTCATTTCTTGTTTGTCTCGTCTCAGTTTTCATGTTCCGCTCGCTAATATTTAGATGCCCGACTTATATATTCTTTTTCTTTACAGTAATCCTTTTCATATTTGTATCCATATTTATAATTATAATTTAATATATGAAATAGGAGTTAGTGCATGCCTTGACTACTACATGTTATCTACAACTTACTGCACTTTTTTAGTTTGAATAACTGTTTATAAATAACATTTTGGCTCAATTACTACGTCATTTTTCAAGCCCATATTAAACAATATATTTATACAAGATTTTCTTCCATATTTGCTATTGACGTTCCTCTTTATATTTTTTTTTAATTTTAGTTCCATATTTAAAATAATTAAAATCTATTATTTTTATTTGTTAATTTAAGCATGTTGAGAAATAAAGGGAAATAACATAATTTAAATACAAAATCGAGGCAATCATTTTAATCTTGCCGCGAAAGTAACTGCCTCTGGCTTCAATACATTTGCACCAAATGTATTATTTGGCACCGAAGCAAAGCTTTTCATATCCCTTACCGTTGAACTTTTTTTATTTTATTTTTATCACATGTTTCTATAAAAACTCCACAAACAATTAAAACACATTTACATTAAACATGTAACAGTTGTGTTCTCAGATTTACCACTAGCTGCCTTCATGTTAATAAACGTGATAACAACAAGTATTTCTCAACCAATACTGTCCATTCGTTGGAATTCTACATACACACAAAACACGAAACAATACACAATTTCAATTTAACAAAAGAACTCCAGCATGGACATGGTGTAAGAAATTTTTGCGCAAGCTCATGTAGGCATTAGATATTAGAACATTGCCATCGTTTGAATCCAAATTACAAACATCGAGTGACATGAGAATGCGCAAGTTGGAGCTTCATGGGGTGGGTACGTGATGTGGGGTGCGTGGTGCAGAAGGCGTCCTTCTTTAACTGCCTGCTGGATGTGGCTGCGGGACTCGGACCCGGATCGCGAACAGGTTCTCTGAGTCAAGAAGGTCCTCTTATCACAACCGCGGAGGGACATCCGGAAGATCCACATACTTTAGCCAACTTCGCAAGACGCAGTACCAGAAAATCATTCAAGTAAGTAGTAGACAAGGAACTAAATTTGTCATAACTATGTTATTACTTATCATCACCATCATTTTGTTAATGATATACCTATTGCTAAATATAGGTATATATATATACACTATCACAAAGCGCATTTCTGTGCCATCAACTCTCTGCATATCTCATTAATTTTGGTCAGAATATCCACTACCCAATATCGAGTCGCATGTGTGGCGATAGAAGGAAACATACCAGAACATGGGGTCTTTATGAAAAACAACCAAAGTAATAAACTCGTTTGCCCGCCAAGCTTCTCAACTATGGCAAATATTACCCCTATAAGGCAATCTATGGGGCATGTATGGGACCTATGTTTAGCAGTGTACTTTTCATAGGCTGTAACAGTAACTTTATTTAGTGGGGAGATTGGCTTCATAGTCCAGTCAAATAAGGTCTGAAATTAAACCTTTTTTATTTATAAAAATAAAATTTTATGCTCTACACATTTTTAAGAAAACTTTTTTGTCTAATTTTTACCGTCTCCGAGTAATTGCGGAAAACACTTGACAATTTTTTTTAACCCTTGCCGGGGGTTGCTGACACGAATTCCTTTACACATTGGTTTTGTATCATTAAAACTTCATTATATCAAGTTGAGTGTCAAAATTTTGACTTCAGACCTTATTTGTCTGAACTATTCATACTGCGCTTGCAGGTTATTGTAGAGCCTTTACGAATATAATGATAATTAATATTCAACGTCCCAGGACTTATGTCTTTCTTTTACTACATTTCTTTTACTATATGAGATTTTCTTTTACTTATCGTAATCGTAAATGTAGGTCCTAGGAAATTGAAAGTAAAACTGAATTTATATTTAAAAACAAGCTGTTCCCCGCGACTTCGCCCGCGTATTTTTTAGGGTTTTAATTTTTTTGCGCGGAACCCGAATAATTTTTCTGAAATAAAAGTAGCCTAAGTTACTCCTTGTGACATCAGCTACCTGCCACTGAAAATCCCGTCAAAATCGGTCCAGCCGTTTCGGAGATTAGCCGGAACAAACAGACAGACAAAAACATAAAAAATTGTATTTTTGTTATTAGTACCGTATATACTTTCATATGCATTCAGTAAAAAGCTGTAATTTTGTCATTACAAACAGACACTTCAATTTTATTTATTTGTATAGATTTAAGACGCTTCTATCGATATAAAGGGCCATTTTACTAACCATTATTTATTTTTTGTTTCAGGAACAATAAAAAGGTGATTACTTACTGAACATATTGACCCAATCATTATCGTGACCCCCTTATTAGATGAAAAATATATATAAATACTGCAATCACCTGCACCTCAAATAATTTTTAATACGATTGGAATATCAATTTAATGTAACTACCCTAATGTTCTGGGTTAAAGATGTTCAGTTCTTAAAGTATCTGCTATTAGGTGTGTCGTTTAGCAACAAACCATACCGGTGCATTCCATTTGTAATAGATAGTTGATGTTGTTTTATGTTAGAAAGTCGATGTATCGATGTTTTGTTAGTTAAAACGTACAATTGATGGTATTAAATGTTTTGTATTAGCTACAGTTTTAACAAGATTAGGCTAATATTTATGGTAAATGGCGCTAATTAGGGGCTTAGACCCATAATGTTAAATAGATTCTATGTGAACAATGTTACTAATTGTTTCGAATTCACAGATGGTTATTAATACTTAGGTAAAAAAAAACAGTAAAATAGGGATTACATTTATCAAAATGTAGAACATAGTAAACTTGTAAGCGATTGTTAGAAAAAATCTATGAGTTATGATTTTATACAGTATTTAATTGTGTGATGAATAATAAATTAAAATAATGAATTTCTTAGACAGCACTTTCAGAATCAATACACAAACACTTCCACATTACAGCCATAGTCATTACTGACATTATAACATTTAAAACACAACATCTATAGAAATATGAAGACAAATTTGCATGATAATATTTATGTTATAGAATTCTATTAACGCATGAAACCTTCATAGATTTTTAACTTGCACTAACTAGCTCAGAAGTCTTGGGTAAGTACGTAAAATATGTTAAAGTGCCTGCCACACAAGCACGGTATGCATTGCATGTTTTGGATATCTCACATTTGATGTTTGCGTTGATGTTGTGACAAAAACAAATTTTGTAAATATGGGACAGTAAGTTTTTGACGTAAATACCTTAGACATCATTATTTATCGTTTTTTCTAATGATTTAAAATTGTCTCATAAGAAACTAATTTTAGGTTTTGGAGCTACAAGATGTTGCATCTCATCACGCATCTTTAGAATCTTTAGACGAAGCCAGACTACAACCACCAACACATGTTTACCAAAATGGTCACCACGGGAGATCTTCTAGTTTAAGGTACCGTGTTCCTTATTACGGTTTGCTTTTTATTTAAATTTATCTGATATATTTCATTTTATTTTTATTTTATTGTTATATTATTTTGATCTTTTATTTATAGTGCCATCGATGATATGACGCAAGTGAGAATAATCGTTTTGAGACGAGGGTATGTCCATCAGGTTCAAGAAACCAACCAAAGATCAGAAATGACATTTTTAGTCTGGTTATAATTTTTCTAATATAACTAAAACTTTATATTTTTCTAATGTTCCTTGTTGCATGCTCAATGTGTAAAACAACTAAGTTTATAAGGGCCCAACTAGATGAAAATGAGCACTATATAATATCGATTTTTTTCGCTCCCTTCAAACGAGCAAACTAAATTTAGAACTTGATGCTGACACCGCTAAAATGCTTAAATATAACTTTTGGCCCTAATTTACAAAATGTCATTATAATTAAAACATAAGTTGTGAGAAATCGAGATATTTACTATTAAAATACATATTTTACCCTAAACGGCACAGCGCGACGAATCCTTATTACCAAACATGAGAGATGTTGCGTTTGTATGTTTTTGAACACGGGCCCTTATAAAATGATTAATTATTCATATTTATATTTTTGAGTATCGATTACAATTTTCTTATTACTGTTAAACGTAACATATTAATGAAAAAATACTTTTAATTCTCAAATAAAAATCTAAAAATAACATTTTAACAGTTTTGCAACTTATGCTCATATATAATTCAAAGTAACCATCATACATAACAAAATCCGTCTCATTGTTATATATAATATTTCAATACTAACACCTTTTAATTAACATACGAACTAATAGTTTGATCAATAAGTTGGATTGGCCTTGCGTGTGACTAACCCTTTTTTGTGAAAATAAAAAACTATTACTTTGTTATGCGATATGCTGGTAAGTATGTAGTATAAGCACATATAACATCTAATGTCGTCATTCAAATATATTTACGAACCACAGACGGACTCCAAGTCCCCGACGGCGTGGCCAATATGGAGGCTATCAACACGATATTGGTTTCTCCGACACAGTTAATAATGTTGTCGAGATAGTCAAACATGAACACCAACGACATGGGCGAACTCATCGAGCGCCTCACCACTATCATCCTCATGGTAGGTACATTTTACATAACTAATAAATTGCTAACGTCACCAAACACGAAATGTAATAATTTAATAATCTATCACGTAAATCTGCTGGTACCATTTATGTATTGTTTATAATATCAAATGTATCACGTATTCACACCAGCAGATTTACACGGCTTTGAGCTATTGCAAATTTTTTGATTGCGTTAAGACCATTGAAACTATCCTTACGATAAAATTAGCATTCCCAGCTGTGTATGTATACGCCTTAACAATTTTATATCATTATTTTCATATAGTATATATATATATTCACATTTTAAAACAAAAGCCTAAGCATAATTACTCATTTAGCTTTGATGTAATGGATCAAAACAGTTTTGCAAACATTTTTCTTCTCATGAAGGTACTCTGAAAGTTTTGTGAGAAGACGAGAAGTCTAGCTTTATAGTAGATGTAGATATTCATATTTTGTAGATGTAGTTTTAAGATCCAAGGAGCGAAGCCGTTGTGCTATTAATGAATAAGTTGGTAAATTTAGATTTAGATTGTATAATCTAGCTCTACTGAACATTCCACAAGCTAGTTTTGTAAAGATATTAGTAGCAAACATTTTAGTTCCGTTAAATAATTGCTCTCATATTATGCTAATTATTGTTAGATACATACCTATTTATAATTGATTGATTAGAATCTAATAACAAATTAGATTAAGTGACTATTTATATATATATAATAAAAATTTTACCTACTTCGAAATTAAAAATGTAAATTTTCGTAACAGAGATTAGAAACATATGGAATTATTTTGCCTGCTGCATGCTAATAATATTTTGGTGCTCAGTTAAGAATTTAATAAGATTGTTATTTGCACCTAATTAACAAGAGCTTTAATGAAAACTGTGTCTAAGGCGCATGTGTTTAATACAATCAAAAATAATTCATGCAGCATGTAAAAGCTTGATAAATTAATTAGTGCAAATTTGTATATTTTATGTAGATATTCTACCTAGATACCTTTATACTTTCCAAAAATATTGTAAAATTTGAGAACATACCTTTGTCATATCAGATAAAACAATTGGACACACTACTTAATCCATACAAAGCAAGTTATCCAATCCTTGGTTTTCCAATTCCGTGTCCACGACCTCTCTGTTACCACCTTCGACTACACCCAAAACTTTTAGAGTCACCTTTGTGAGCAAGAAAATTTGATCGGTATTCCGACGCGCTTAAGATAAAGCGTGGTGGAAGGTACATGAAGGTATTCCTGACAGCAGGGAAGGAGTGGAGGGCGCCGTATCCTACGACCAGCCTGAGCCTGCCCTCGCGGTCACCCAGCCCGCCACATCACACCTACGGTGAGATCCACTCGCCACTCGTCACACACACTGGATCACACTCTCACTACAAAGAACACGCAATACGCTTTGTCAAAAACTAAAAATTTACAAAATGAGCTGGAATTGAAATTTAGTGTTTATTTATATAGATTTTATTTACATATTTTTCACTTCTAGCTCACTGTTAAATTATCACTTTATCATTCCGTTCACTTGACATTGCAAAGGTCTGAAATTTTGAAGCCATTATTTGAAGCTATTTGCAGAATATTCCGAAATTTGTTAATTTGTGCTTCAGTCTTAAAACCAATAAATTATCAGGAATCAAAAATTGTAAAGCAAAAGGTCTGTTATTTTAAAAACATTGGCTTGATAATTTTATATAATCAACTAGAAAGACCTTTTGCTAATAAAATTAAACAATATTATTTGTCGAAAGCTTTTGAAATTACACGTCTGTAAAGATTGGCTTCTTGCATATATGTCTAGTGAAGAAGACGCTTGCTTATAAAAAAGGGCGTGACAATTTAGATAAGAAAATTGTTTGCACATCTGTTTACAAATTCTTCATTAGTATACAATTTTCTTTTGTTTGTATTAAAATAATATATACAATTTAAATACCGATTTATTCATTAAATATTTATCATGAGACTTACCCTAAAAAAGAACATTCAAATTATTCAAAGATCAGTTTGGGCACCTATAGTTGGCGATCGGGACCGGGAGCGCGAGTGGAGAGAATGGCGGGAGCGGTCTTGGGAACGAGAGGGACAGAGACGAGGCCGCGGTCGCCAGCTACCTCCAACGCCTACCAAGCCGTCCACATTACAAGTCAAACAGCAACCACCATTCACAAGAATAAGCCACAGCCCCTCCCACGTAACTATTAAACATTTGTCTAAATTAAGTAAGCTAAAGATATTAAGATATAATAATGGTATTTAAAAATAAAAACCTATTTCCAGTTATCGTTAAGGCATACAGTACGAGAACCTGTAGAGCCTCTGCACGATGAGTATGAGTATGGCCGGGAAGTTGAAAGACTGATACACCGAGATTATAGATCTAGAGAAAGGTGGGTGAATATTCCTTTATTCTACTAATATTCTAATTTTCCTTTTGTTATGTAAACTGATATGGTAAACGAGCTTACAGTCCATCTGACGTTAAGAGACTAATGCAGTATATGAACACCTGCAGCCAACTTCAAGCAATGCAGGATATACATGCGTTGTCACCTAGGACTAAGATAAGATGGCATGCCGATGGAATTCATACCGTAACTCAGTAGTGCAGATACTGCTATTTGGCGGTAGATTGACGAAAGAGAATAGCGCCAACTCGGACGGACTTCTTAGAAAAGGAATTCTACCACCTAGTAAAAGTCAATTATAAAATAATCGAAAATGAACTACATCATACAGCGCGGCGCTGTTGTCCTCCATAAGTCCATTGTCACACACACGCAGTCACTGTTTATATATAAGCTTTATGCACACACACACACACACACACCAAGATGAGTTGAATTATCTGTAACAGATCATGTTTTCTATTCACGAAAAGGTAAAACGCCTAATCTTTCTGCAGACGTGGTAGGGGCTACGAATCGGAGCGCGGACGTGCCTACGAAGCGCCGCTGTCGTACGAGGCGGCGCTGGCGATGGGTCGGGCGGGGGGAGCGCGGACGCTGCCGTCGCCGGTGCCGGCGCCGCGGCTTCCCAACGGGTACAAGCCGCGCGCGCGCCACTCGGACTCAGACGAGGACGACTGGTGCTAGCAGCGCGGCCGCGCGCGCTCCCAGAGGGACGTGCGCGCGGCTCAGCCGCGGCTCCCCGACGCGGCGCCGCACGCACACACCTTCTGATGCGTCGCGCTCGCTGCGCCCGCCGGACTATCTTCCCCCCTTTCCCCCGCGCGAACAATCTCATTTTCTACTTGGCGAACGTACAGACGACTCTCGTTGCTCAGGTGTTTGGACGTTTCTTCTGGATCGCCGAACCCGTGTTTCCACGAGCAAAATTCAAATTCTAGTATTTACAAAGTTTTGGAAAATTTAATTTTTAATTCGCTAAAATTTTACTCTTTGATTTATATTACGATTAGGGTATTGGGAGTAATATAAACAGTGCCAGGCAACTCAGTTTGCGCTAGGATTTTTACATAAAATAAAATTATTAGTCTGTATTGTAAAAGTAAACTTTCTATATTAAATTTGCACTACGTAAAGTTTAAATATATGTATATCGCCTGCTGAAACGGTCAGGCCGATTTTCACGATGGCGTGTGCGCCTGCGCCTTCGTGCGTCACGTGCACCCTAAGTGGACTTCGCTCTATCCGTTTCACGTTCAAGTTAGAAATTGGAGGAACACTAGCTATTAATGTATAAAATATTTACATAGCAAATAATTTTTACTTAGTTAAAATTATACTAAATAAATAATTAAACATTTTTTATTGAATTTGCTGTCCTTTTCCGAAGTGCTTTATATCTACGTTATTTAAATTTAAATACAAGTATAACTAAATAATATTATGGATTGTATGTAAACTTTGCAAATATATTTCCACATTAAATTATTACATAAATTGTTAAATCGTGTTTAGGCCAATCAATAGGCAGGTTTCTTTTTGTTACATTTGGTGATTAAGTTTATATAAACGGATAAGACTTATTATAAGCATTACATCGTTTTATAAGCAATAAAATAGCACACTTCACCAAATAAATGCTCTACTAATATTTCAAAATAAATTACATGTCTGTAATTTAAAAAAAAATATTAAATATAGCAAGTCATTGTCGTCTAAATCGGTTTCGATATTATTAGAAAAGATTTTGTAGCCTGGTTGATCTTGCAAGAAAAGTTGTCGATAATAGTAATTAAAACATTTTCTATCCTTTTCTTTATTTCATATTAATGAATATATTACTGAACGTTTTTATTCCTTATTTTTTTACTATTGTATGTAATTTTGTAAGAAAATATTTATATTTTCAATTAAATTTATTAGGTAAATTGGTTTATTCTATATTATACTTTTGAATCAATAGTCAGATGCTGATACAATTGAACGCCAGGTACAAAATCTCTCGATAGCACTTTTGTATCGAATTGGTTTACAACTTTTTAAATATTTAATTAAATACTAAATTGATTTATTTAATTAATTTTTCTCTTTTCTATGTGTCCCATCCAAGTGTTTAATTCTAGAAAAGTAAGATATCGTTTTGTTTGTAAATCCACCACCATATTTAAACAATAGATTATCTAAACCCACCTATTGTATCCTTATAGTGAAAGTACAAAATGTAATAGGTTATAATAAAATTGAGACTAACTTTAACACAGAAAATCTATAATTACACTTGGGGTCGGACGGGCAAGATGTGTATAGCAGGGGAAATAATCATACGAATTGTATTAAATTGATATTGACTCTGTAAATAGTATGCCATCCGCCTCACATAATATTATGGTAAATTTAAACGCCACTTAAAGGCGGCAGATAAGAAATATAGATTATTTGGGAACTTGGAAAATAAATTTCCAAATAAAATTGTTGTATCCTATTTTGGTCAATCAATTGGTAGCTTCCTTTTCAGTATCTATTGTTGCATATTAAATTTACCATACATATTTTATGTATACAATCCATATGATTTATTCAACCCGCTGCCATTCATGATGCCCTTATGCCCTGTATGATATATGGCGAAAGTAATATTCTAATTTCTCAATATAATCTGTACATGATATAGTTTATGTGTAGGTCGTATAAACACACAAATAGAATGAAAACCAAACGCTTTAATGTGCTAAATTTCGTTAAATAATCTACAAAATCAATGACAGGAGTTGGCATAATCCTAATGATAGCTTTTTGCAGTATATACTTTCGTCGCTATTTTGATAGTATAGTCAATATTTTCACAAACAAAAATAAGAGTTCAATAAAATCTTAAAATGATTTTCTTTTGAACCTAAATTATTTAAACGATACAATAGTGGTTGGGTGAGGCTAATGCGTTTAACACCATCCACCACCATTGATGTGCGGCAAGCTGTAGATTACGTCCGACACTTTAGTGCGACAAAATTGTAAATACATGATTTTCTGTGATAACATGGTGAACAAATGCGTAAAATATTAGAGCTGTGTGATTGCAGATGAAAGTTATTTATTTGTCGATAGCGCTATACTATGATTTGATGAGTTGATCTTGCGACTTTCATTAAAGTTTGAAATAAAACGACGCAGTGTAGTAAGAGACTCATAAGGTTGACTTATAAATTGATTACCTACTATTACCTCTTTGAAATTTCGTCTATTCATTTTTAACTCGTCTCCTTTCTGTTTAATCTAATACATGTATAAGTGGATATTATAATAAGTTAATAACTGCATTTTTTACCTTCTTTTATAATGCTTGTTCTTTTTACTTCGTTTCTAAATTTTGAATATTACTACAAATTCTTGGTTAAAGACAACGAGACGTCTTCATACAAGTTAAGCTTATTCTTGTTTTGTTTATTAGGGAAACTTACATAAAAGTCTCAAGATCATATATATTTATATTAGTAGTAGCCATATTAGTCGACTTCGATATTATTACTCCAATATAATTGTTGTTATTTGTGGAAAAGGCCACGAACAATTCGTTAGAAAAGAATAGCTTTTAAATGTTTTTATTTTAAATATTTTACCTCTGTTAATAGTACAAAATATGTAAGCTTCGAGACGTATGTATTTATCTAAGTAAGTAAATATTTCATTTGATTCTTCTTTCTCGAGATCAAAGACAATCTCTATAATAACACTCTGAAATTGTATCACTATTGAACTTACTCACTTGTAGCTGTTTCAATGAGATATATTAACAGCATTGAACCAAGTTCATAGTTCTTGAATTGCATTAAGGCGACAGCTGAGATGACTTAAGAACCGCAAACTGTTTTAGATAGTATTACTCACAACCACAACACTAGTTAGTGTAATTGAATTGTTTTACTTAACAATCGAAAAGGCATGCCATTTGCATATAATATAAAATATTAACCTCGATTTCAGAGTGTTAGATTTCTTCTTCGTAGTTTTATTATTTAACATGTTTGACTTGTGAAATTTGTATTGTTACTGTATAGATGTTCCAGTATTTTCGTTATGTCTTCATAATTGGGGTGTTAGGATACAATAAGCCGATGGACTTTCAATGACTGAGTGGAAAAGAGTTACAGAGTGCGTCCCGCTTTAGTGTTCGTGACTCCTACGTAATGATTGCGATTATGTTTCATTAAAATACGTGTTTAAGAGGTGTAAATATTGTAATATATAAAGCGGCCGCCATGTAGAGGTCGCCTGTGAAAATGTCTAGTTGATATATTACTAGTTAATATTAATGTTAGCTAGGTAATTTTATTCCCAACTATCCTTGAATTTGAGTTGGGTGTTTCACTGCCTTAAAGTAATAAAAGCTCGTCGTAATAGTTAACTTAACTAAAACAGATAAGTAAAGATTCATCTTTATTCGTTTATATTATTCTACGACAATATGAAAACGTAGATCGTCTTCTCAGACTTCATTTAGGTATTTAGAAATCACTCCAATACTTAATGATTTAAAGTTAAAAATATTTTCACAATTGGCCGATATAATGTAATTTTGACAAACACCCTTTAACGCAGCAATATAAACGACGTGAGTGACGAAGTAATTGATTTAAAAAAAATGTAACTGCCTTAACTCATTTGGTTTCCAAATCGCAATTAGTGAGAAAACTTTAGGAGAAGGACTGATGTAATTTTATTGTGCCTATTACATATATTGGCGTATAGTTACCAGAATAAAAGCTTAAAAGTTATCCCACCAACATTTTATTATAGTTAGGTGTTAAAATTTAATCCCGTATATTTATTCAATTTCAAGATTAAAATTTGACTTTGGTTGTTGTTAGCCGTGCACATACACATTGTGTTAGTGTGCGTAGGCTGCGGGAGCCGTGCACATACACATTGTGTTAGAGTGCGTAGGCCTCGGGAGCGCTACGCCCGAGCGCCCGCAGCCTACGCACACTAACACAATGTGTATGTGCACGGCTACAACAACCAAAGTCAAACCTTCATCGTGAAATTGAATAACTATACTAACCATACCTGCGCCTTAACGTTGCTGTAAGAGAAAGCTTAGCTATTATTATCAACGAAGTAACCGAAGTGAGTTAAGCCAGACGACAGCCAGCCAGCAATCAACCCAGGCGAGAAAATGACGTCTGCCTTTTACCGTGTAACTGCTTCGTGAAAATTATTATATTTTATATTATCGCATAATTAGCATAGAAAGTTCATCGGCGTCAAGAAACCACCATAGTTTTTTGGTACGTTCAATAACTTTGCAAAATAGTGCGATACTATTGATATTGTATTTAATAAAGAACCAAACTTAAAATTAGTATTTAAGTAATTTATTATCCTAAACTAAATACTATACGCATGTTTTCACTATACTGGTAAAATGGTTATGTAAAATACGAAAGAGCTGTTTTATATATGAATTCTTGATTGCCTGTAAAATTTTGCAGAACGAATCATATTATAAGATTGTACAATATGAATAAATGCAAAAACGAAATTTCCTCGATTTGTTGTGTTTACTTCATTTCGTAATGTCTCATAAATTTGCTCGCTTTTCCGTTATAGATTCAATAAGATTTTGAAAATACTCTAATGTGATTATTTGATTACTAGTAACTGTAGCGTCATTCTTAGAGAGTTGGCGT